TCCCGAAGACGGTGTCACACGTTCTGAGCCTGCTTGTCGCCTGGGCCTCATGGTTTCTTGTCAGCCCCGTCACTGATGGGAAGCAGCACTGACGTGTGAGGGCAGGAAGGACACCGCTGGAGTCAGGTGCTCCCCTACCTGTGACCCTTTTCCAACAAGCTGACGCTGAGCCAGCGGCCCGCTCCGCCCCGCATCCTCCTCCCAACGGTCCAAACCACTACCAGACAGGAGCCGCTTCACACACGTGTCTGAGCGTCTGCCCTAGATGTCTGCGCGTTTCTGTGAAGCGCTGTGCCGTAAGGACTGGACTCTGACGAGCAAGCTGCCTCCCACTCCCAAACACTGACCCCGCTCAGGAGACTCACCCTGGGTGTAGACGGCGTCTTTATAGAGGGAGATAGAGGCTTCTAACCCCGCTCAGGAGACTGACCCTGCGTGTAGACGGCGTCTTTATAGAGGGAGATAGAGGCTTCTAACCCCGCTCAGGAGACTCACCCTGGGTGTAGACGGCGTCTTTGTAGAGGGAGATAGAGGCTTCTAACCCCGCTCAGGAGACTGACACTGCGTGTAGACGGCGTCTATAGAGGGAGATAGAGGCTTCTAACCCCACTCAGGAGACTCACCCTGGGTGTAGACGGCGTCTTTATATAGAGGGAGATAGAGGCTTCTAACCCCGCTCAGGAGACTCACCCTGGGTGTAGACGGCGTCTTTATATAGAGGGAGATAGAGGCTTCTAACCCCGCTCAGGAGACTCACCCTGGGTGTAGACGGCGTCTTTGTAGAGGGAGATAGAGGCTTCTAACCCCGCTCAGGAGACTGACACTGCGTGTAGACGGCGTCTTTATAGAGGGAGATAGAGGCTTCTGATGACACCAGAGCTGCAAGTGTCGTGACTGGAGCTGGGCGCCCAGCCCTTCTGAAGCTGTTGTTTCTGTGGCTCTGACATATTTCCGTAGCATCCCCCTTCATCTCATCTCAACGTAATGAAACTAATGAAATCGCTGCAAAGCTTTGCCTTTGAGAGGCCAGCAGCCTCGCAGAATGTCTCTGCAAGTCCAAAGGCGCCTGTGGGTCGATGTGCCTTTAAGTCCAGCAGGTGCGTGTGACCAGGCCAGCCTATGCGTGTGGCCTTTGCCTTCTTCCCTTTCTTCCTGTCTTCTGTTTTTTTAATTTGGGGATTGAGAAAGCTGTATGATTTTGTTAAAGGAGAAATAAACCATTTTTTAAAGTTGTAGCCCTTAGCTTCTTTTGGTCGCCGGCTACTTCATGTCCAGCTTGCCTAAGAGAGGAACTTTTGGCTGGGCTCGGTGGCTCAGCACCTGTAATCCCAGCACTCTGGGAGGTCGAAGTTGGTGGATCACCTGAGGTCAGGAGGTCGAGACCAGGCTGACCAACATGGAGAAACCCCGTCCCTACCAAAAAAAAAAAAAAAAAAAAAAAGCTGGGCATGGTAGCATGTGCCTGTAATCCCAGCTACTTGGGAGGCTGAGGCAGGAAAACTGCTTGAACCCCGGAGTTGGAGGTTGCAGTGAGCCGAGATCATACTGTTGCACTCCAGCCTGGGTGACAGAGTAAGACTCCGTCTCAAAAAAAAAAAAAAAGGAACTTTTGGCTGGGCTCAGTGGCTCACGCCTGTAATCCCAGGACTTTGGGAGGCCAAGGCAGGTGGATCATTTGAGGTCAGGAGTGTGAAACCAGCCTGGCCGACATGGTAAAACCCTGTCTCTACTAAAAGTACAAAAAATTATCTGGGCGTGGTGGCAGGCGCCTGTAGTCCCAGTCACTCGGGAGGCTGAGGCACGAGAATCAATTGTTTGAACCTGGGACGCGGAGGTTGCAGTGCGCCAAGATCATGCCACTGCACTCCAGCCTGGGCAACACAGCGAGACTCCGTCTCAAATAAATAAATAAATAAACAAATAAATAAATACATAAATAAAATAAGGAACTTTTGTGGCCCTTTTTCCCAAGCCTGCTTCAGATGCCAAATAAACAGAGTTTCTACTTAGAAATACTGCAGCAGTGCTGCTTTAGAAATAACAGAAGTTTGCTTTGGTTTTAAAAAGTTCAGACTCATGGGAAAAAATGCACTGGAAGAAACTGGATGTAATCTGGTTTTATTTTCCTTCTATGGAAATAGGTAATGGTGGTGGCATTGCAGAAAACATACTTATTCAACAGTGACTTTTTCTAGCCAAAAAAAAGGGAGGGGCAAGAATTAGCTTGCAAATCATTTTGGCGCCATCTATGTGAGTTTAGCTGCAGAACAGACTTACCAGTGAGGGGCCCACTTACCACAGCCCCTTCACCCTGCAGGCCATCCTTCATTCTGGATAACGCACCCACCCAAAGCACGGCCATACTAGGCTTTAATAAAGTCCATAACCAACGCATTCCGGGTGCATCTACATTCTGGAGATTCACTGCACTTGAGAGGAGAGTGAAGCGGTGACCTCAATATCCAAGTAAAGAGAGACTGCTTCCAGCTCCCTCCGGCCTCTGCCCTCCCCCACCCCACCACACACGCCCACACACGCGCGGCAGGTGCGCTGCCATGCGTCCAGGTCCCCGTGGCAATGGCTGCAGAGTGGCAGACAGGGCCCTTCATCTGCAGGTTCTTGCCCCTACTCGGGGTGGCAGGAGCAGACATGGCAATCTCCCGGTTCACGAAACAAGAGCCCACCAATGGGCTCACACCAGGCCGGGGCGGGGCCGGGCGAGTGCTCAGGGCACAGTGGTGCCTCTGCCAGGCCCCAGTGTGCTTCTCTCCCAGGTGGTTCTGTCTCCGCAGGCACCTCCCCAGCTGCTGAGACGCCACCAGCAGCTCCACCACACCAGGCAGCCACCAAGTGCCTCTTCCTACGAGCCAGTGAAAGCCCTGGGCTCTTAAGTGGGTGATGTGCGTGGGCTCCAGGATGGAATGACAGTCGGGGGAGAGGGGAAGGTGCGTTGCCCAGAGCTTCCAGGTGCCCATGCCCTTCACACGCATGTGCTTCAAAGATGGCAGCACCTCGTGTTGGTGTGGCTGTTGCACCTCCCTCCCAGCCACGCCGCCCCCACCCCAGAGGGGCGACTCCGAGTTGCACCCGCTCCTAGCCCAGGTCTAAGAGCTCTGGGTGGGGTCCAGCAACCTACAGCCAAGGGACGCGTGTGAGCCAAGGGACGCGTGGAGCCAGGGCACAAAGGAGTGGAGGGACCACAGCAAAACGGCTCTGGCAAACAACAGAGGCCACAAATCCAGGGGTCAGTTAACATTACTGGACCAAGCACCCAGTTTGTTTTTCTAACTGGTGGAGTTCTGAAGAGGATCAGTTTAAAAACAATATAGACCGCTGCATTTTCTCCACTCGACTCTACTGTCCCATCTTGCCATCTACACCTGAGCAGCCCTCTCCACTTCAGATCGCCGTCCGGCCTCCCACCACTGTCAGATGCCATCTCTGTGAGAAGCCCCCTCCTCCCTGCTTTCGGACACAATGGAGCCATGCCCCGTGTGAGATGGGCCATGCGAGCGCAGGAGTGAGGCGGGCGGAGCACACACCAGCCTCCCCCCAGGGCTGCCCCTGCCCGAACATCTGGTGCCCCCAGCAAGTGAGACGCCCCGGCTGCTGTGCTGGAAAGCATGCCTGTCACTTGGGTCCAATTTCCTCACCTGTCATGTGGGCTGGGCTTGCTATGAGGCTTGGGACACAGGAGAGCACAGCTGTCAAAAAGATACGCCCTCTGCCTCCCGTGTCAGCCATGTGCTGGTTGTGCCTCATGGGGCAAGTTATGTCCCCTCTCTGAGCCTGTCCCTCGCCTGTGAAATGCAGATAACCCCCCATGTAAAGCTGTCAGGGGAATGAGAGGAGTTCATACGTGCAAGGCACTTAGATCAGCACCTGGCACAAATTATAAAGTGTCAGCTATCAGCATCCCCATCACCGTCATAGCTCGTACCCTTCGCACTGATTGGTTTAGTCATGAGTGTGTGAGGCAGTTCTAGCCAAGACATTAGAGGAGGCCAGCTGAAGCCAGAGCTTCAGAAAGGTCTCCCTTTATCTTAAAAAGAGACACATAGGATTGCTTAAAGCCAGGAGTTCAAAACCAGCTTAGGTAGCAAGACCCAGTCTCTACAAAAAATTTTACAAACTAGCTGGGTGTGTTGTCATGCATCTGTGCTCTCAGCTACTAGGGAGGCTGAGGTGGGAGGATCACTTGAGCCCAGGAGTTGGAGGCTGCAGTGATCTATGATTATGCCACAGTACTCCAGCCCAGAAGGCAGAGCAAGACATCTTCAAAACACAAAAGAGCGAGTGAGCCATAAAAGAGGCAGCCATTTGTCTCCAAACACCTTACACTGGTGTGGCGCCTGGAGCTGTGGTGGCCATCCGGCAACCGTGAGGCCTGAGGTCCTGAATGGTCAGAGAGAACACACCAGGAAAAAAAACACAGGGGGATTTGGGATTTGTTAGCATGGAAGGAGGGGGGAAGAGCTGCTAGGGAGGCAGCCAGCACTCCCGGAGCACATGCAGCCCTTCTGTACCCGACCAGCCCAAGGGCGTCTTCCATGAACCCAGTCCCCGTCCCTCCTTCCAGGAAACTGGGGAAAACAATTCAAGTGGCCTTGATCTTAGACAGTTCCCTTGGAATAAAAGTACCAAGACTAAGCAGAGAAGTCCGAGAGCTTCAGGTTTGCAGTTCTATGGAAAAGATTTAAGAGGGTTAAAATATTCATTAAAATGGCTCAGTCTCCCGGGCCAAGGCTGTGTGATCACACCTGAGAGTCTCAGCACTGCCTAGTACCCCCTCTCTCGTTGCTGAATTTTTAGTCCAACAGATCACAGAACCCACACCCTAAAAAATACAACGGCATTCTAATGGCATTCTGTTTTGCCTTTTAGCCACCAACAACTCAACCTATTTTCAGAGCAGGTGAAATACAATTCTGAATCCAGTTTGGAAAGATTCTGGCAACCAACACTTTATGTCAAAGCACAAGGAATGATGACAAGGCCTCTGGCGATGGAAGATCAAAAACAGGCTTGTTTTATTTATACACAGACCAACTTATGTACAGCACTCAGGTATGGACTATGTACATAACAATACAAGAGGCATTTGTTTCCACGGTGGTCACTATATAAATTAAGATTATAAATACGAGGGGGGAAGCCCCACCTGAGGGCACAGAACCTTTTCTCCAAGACTCTTCAGGGATCCTTCCTGCCTGTCTCTGCACAGCAGACCGTGAGGCCTGTCTGGCAACACCACAAGGCGACCTGGGCCGGGGCAGCAGAGCAGCCCCCGGACAGCAGCGACACCCCAGTGCAGGACACCAGCCCAGCACCAAAGGGCAGTTTCCTAAACATGCGTGTTCATTCCTTCCTCACTTCTAACTTGTTAGAATTAGAAAAAATGGTTTTTATGTAAACAGTGTTGTTAAAATCACTGACAACATATTAATTTTAAACACTTTTGATCCAAACCCAACTCCTTGCCAGGAGTAGGACACTGAGGACTTGGGATGGCCCTGATGTCCTTGAAGCCACGGTCGGCTGTTTATCCTCATGTCCCCTCCTCACCCGAGTTCCAGCTTGCCTGGGGCTTGTTCTGGGACCCTAAGAGCCCCAGGATGCCCACACTGCCAGGTCAGCAGGGCCAGTGGTCATGCAGGGACTGCAGGACAGGCTCCCATCATCTCCTGTGTTAGCCCGTTCCACCTGGGAAACCAAGCGACTGCCATGGCTGGCTTATTTCTCCCTCTGCCGACCCCATCTAAAATGTTCTGGGGAAAACAATCACGGGTGGAAAAGGTGACACACAACCACCTTCCACCCACGTCACCTCCAGGGAGGCAGCTAAGTCCACCAACAGAGCACGGGAGAGTCTTTCATCCAAAACCCCCACACGCCGCATGGAGGGACAGGAGGCTGCACTGGGGAAACCCAAGGCCCTGGCTCAGCCTCCTCACTCCAAGGGCCTTGGTCCAGAAGGACCATGAAAGCGGAGCACCCCAAGGCACGTGGAGGGGCCCATCTAGGCGCACTGCAGAGGAGACAGAGGGGCTGTGAGAGATGGGCCAGCGCTGTTCACTGCCACCTGCTCAGGACTGAGGGCTGCCGCAGAGCCAGCCCCGTCTATGCCCTCCCCCACAGGTGCAGCCCAGCTTCTGCATGTCAGATGGCGTGACGCTGACTAAAGGAGTGGGGCGGCGCCGGCAGACACTCCCAACACTGTCCTTCTCTTTGGGGCATGGAGCTACAGCCAGGCAGCCAGGCCAGAGCCATTTCCTCCTCACACCAGGGCAGGGGTTACAGAAACCTCTTCTCAAGATATTTACGAGCCCCTGCGAGCCATAACTATCAAGGGGAAAAAAGGGCAAAGTCAGTGCCCTGGAGGACCAGGTGCGTCCTCCACCTGGAGACTGCCCCTGCGGGGCACAGCCCTCTCCCCAGGTGAGCTCCCTGCCCTCTGGCACCATCATCTGCTAGTTCAGAGCCAGGACAGAGGCAGGGCAGGAGCAGTGCGGACCATCAAATCAGAGTCCCCGCCAGCACCTCCAGCGACATCAGGCCCGGTAGCAGGAGACAAGAAGCCACCGCAGGGGTAGAGATACTTAGGAGAGCCTCTGGCCTCCAGGCCACCAGATGGCGTGAAGAGGTCAAACCACACCTGCCCACCAGGGCCATGCTCCCGGGGAACCACAGAATGGACAGAGAGTTTCCCAGAGCCAGGAAGCGTTTCCCACACAGAAACACTGAACTCATGTAGACACACATCCTCTGTCTGTGGGGATGCAGCTGGCAAGCTGTCTCACTCACAGCCCCAAGCTGAACTTGAGGCCTACAGCATCTGGAGACAGAAGGGCAGGCGTCCCCAGGCCACAGTGGGGGAGGGGGAGAGGGGAGAGGGAGGAGGGAGGAGGGAGGAACGCAGGCCCTGCGACACCCAGTGAGGGGCTCCCCGCCTAGGAAACAGCACTCGCTGCCTTGGCTCACGCAGGAGAAATTTTTCTTTTCACATCAAATTACAATCAACAGGACTGGAAACATCCGTGCTACTTTCAAACCAGGAAAGAGCATCATTTTTGTTCAACAACAAAAGCTGCATCAACAAACGGGCTCCTGCAGGCTGCTGGGCCGCAGCCACGTTTCCGAGAACCAGACGGGGGCCAGGAGGCGGAGCCACACAGTGTGGCCACAGAAGGACACAGGGAGAGGAGCCCCTGGGACAATCCAAGCACGTGGCCAGGCAAGGGGTGCCCAGGAGGCCAAACGCTGCTAGATTCCCCGGCCCACAACACAGGCAGGGAAGAACTGAGTGGCCGCAACACATGTGCTCCAGGTGACTCTGAGCTGGAGAAGGTGTTGTTTCAAAGGTAGCTGTGTTGTTATGTTCGAGACCCCAGAGCTCTGGTGGACGGTGTCACGGAGGCTTTCTGTAGCTGACAGAGGAAGTAGCACCATGAGAAGGGGGTGGGCTGCAGCGTCCGCCCAGGGCCTCAGTGGCAGGAGGCGCAGAGCCCACAGGCTGAGAGGGCGGAGGCTAGGCCTCAGCGGCGGGGATGTGGAGGCCGCAGGCTGAGAGGGCAGAGGCTAGGCCTCGGCGGCGGGAGCGCTGCGGCTCAGTTCCTTGATGCCACACAGGATCCTCTTCATGTGGCCCACCTTGGTCACGCCCAGGTCCTGCAACAGAGGGGACACCACCATGGATGCTGGGGAGACAGCTGGAGCCAGAGGGCTCCACGGCAGGCCTGCCACAGTAGCCCTTTCCACTCGGCTTGTGAACACAAATGAGAGTGAAAATGACAGAAACGGTAAAACAGGATGGAAACGGCTTAAAAATAACCACCATACAGATGCCTGGCCCATCATCCTGCATTCTAGTCACTGCCATCAGCAAGGACAAATCCAAGACAAAGACAAAACACAGGCCTGAAAGCAAGTGGATGACAAGTGACCTCACGAGAGCTGCTGTCCAGGACACCCACAGTGGCAATCTGCCCTCTCGGGACTCGGCCAGTGACTCAACACCCAGGGGCGGCCCCTTGAGGCCAACCTGGGCAGGGGCATGGCGCTGCAAGATGTGGCGTGATGCCTGGCATAGACGAGGCCTGGCACCCAACCACCACCTCCCAATGCTCCCTGCAGACGAGTGGCGGCACCCGCCCAGGAGCAGCATGGGGACAGTCGCGTGTGACTGCTTCAGGGGGCTGTGTCCCCTCATTGGGTTTTTAACACGAAGACAGTCCTTGTCTGATTAGGCTAAGATAACCAAGGCTCTGACCCCATTATGTCTGCTCCTGGCTTCCTCTGGCTGTGGTGGGTGGAGCCATCACTGCCTAGGGTGAGGGCCACAGTTGCCCCCACCTGAGGTATACACAAAGGCCTGAGAAGAATCATGATGCTGAGATGTGACCAGGTCGGGGGAGAGGATGGAAGAGAAGGCAACCACGTGCAAGCCCAAGTGCAGGTTCCAGGGAGACACCTATGGAAGTACCTTGAGGTCCCTCCGCTCCAGGTGCAGGAGCTCAGAGCCCCGGATGTCGTGCCGCATGAAGATGTCCTTATACTCACAGAGACTGAGGTGCTCCAGCCAGGCAGCAACCTCCTCTGTCCCCCAGAGGTGAACTGTCGGAGATGGAAAAGCACGAGTGCAGTGAGTGCCCAGAGCCCAGTGCGAGGTAGGCAGCGGCCGGCACCCAGCACCCGAGAGCCCAGTGCCAGGACAGGAGACGCCCCAACAGCCAGCACCCAAGACAGCCCAGCAGCCACTACCTGAGATAGCCCAGCAGCCAGCACCCGAGATAGCCCAGCAGCCAGCACCTGAGCCATCTCTGGCAGCCGGCACCCATCACCCAGCCAACAGCACCACCCACCAGCAGTGCAGAAACAGAGAGCCACCAACTCAGGGGGCAACGGCTGCAGCAGAGCTGGCATCTGTTCCTGCCAGGTGGGCCACCAGCCTCTGGTCATTTCCCCGTGTCCCAGGAGGGATTTACCACCACCAAATATGAGGGAAATGTCCCCATGATTGTGGCCAAAGCCAGCTTTTCCTCCAGCTTCTAGAAGGGTTAAATTTCACTTCTGGACCATAGCAGGAAGGGAGACAAGCAGAGATTCCAATTTCACGTAGTCGGGGCCACCATCATTAACAGAAACCCAATTTCTGGACAAACATGCAAAGAAGAAAAACCCACAGGAGCTGCCCTGCCTGGCGGCAAACACCAGTCCCAATATCCAGGCTTGGAGGCCTCTCCAGCCCTTGACAGCACTGGATATGGCCTGGGTACTCAGGGCTGATCCTTCACACAGAGAGTTTAGCTCCAATTTACTGACCCAAAGGAACAATGTCCTTTAGGACCATATTCGATTGATTTCATCACCCACAATCTCTGGTGGCCTGGGGTTCCCAGCACAGGAACCTTGACCAATGCATCGATTTATCAGGAGCCAGCAGCCCAGGAGGGAGCAAGTGGAGCATGCCCCAGCGCGGCCTGAGTTCAGAGCTTTGTGTCTCCAAGTTTGTCTTGTCACCACTGCTGTCTTCCTCCCCACCTCGAATCTCCCAAGTCAGGGCAGGCAGAAAGCCAGAGAGCACGTTAGGACCGGGTCTGACAACGGTCAGAGGGGAAGCAGGTGGGGTGGAGGGCTGCAGCTACGAACAGACTAGTGTGGCCATGGGACCAGGGGTTACAGCACGGGGACCAAGAGGGAGGAGCCGCAAGGCCAAGGGAGAAAGCAGAGGCCAGGAGAACGGGGCCGAGCCAGCAGGCAGGGACGGCCAGAAACACACACGGGAGAGAAGCAGGTACCCGGGGCTGCCAGGCTACTGTGAACTTCTTTGTTCTTGTTGTTTTTCTCCTTTTTAAACTTGGTCACGAGGCGGAATTTACCACTGCGACTGCGCTTGGCAAGATCCAGCATCACGCTCTGTTGGGGAGAGTGAGAAATACTGAGAATCAGGCTGCAACTGGTCACGGCCTCATGCCCATCTCCACCAGAGAGGCTGGGAGGGCAGGCAGGGCTGAGACGAGCGGGAGCTGGGAAAGACCTCTTGTTCCTGAAACGGCTTCTCTCCCTCATTGATGCTTGTATTTACTGTTGATTTCAGTGACTGTTAAAGTGGCTTCAAAGTGATCACAGTGTCTATTTTTATCATAGTCTACTGTCTTCACTTTACATGTGCATTTCTCATGAGATTTAAAAACTTTTTGAAAATATCATAAATATCAGTATCTACACGAAAATTATTAAAATAACCTCTTTAGCCAATCTTCTAGTGCTGGATTGCTGGGCTTTGATTGTTAGTATTACGAGTATCTGTCTAACGAAAGCTCTTCCTGCACTTCACATTCTTTCCTTGCGATCCACTCCCTGAGGCACAAAAGTGGAGGAAGGGTGAGCAGCAGAGCCACATAGGAGCTCGGCCTCTGCTCTTGACAGCCATCAGCAGCAGCGGCCTCTCCACAGAGCACTCCCAGGGACGCAGGGAGGTAACACTGCCTCACTCTGCGATGCGCTCTTTGTAAGAGACACTCCAAATAAAGCTTGAAAGTAAAACTATGAAAAAAACATAGCAAGCAAGTAGACTTGAAGATAAAAAGAATTACTAAAGATAAAAGGATCATTAGATAATGATAAAACCTATGGGTACCCAATAACATAGCCTCAAAATACATGAAGCAAAAATAAACATAACCACAAAGATAAACTGAGACATCTACAATTATGGTATTAGAGTTAACTGATATATCAAGAAGACAAAAAAAAAATTTCAGTAGGAACTTATTGATGTAAACACAACTGCATACAAGGTACATTTACAAAAACCACCTATTGGGCCATAAGACAAGTCTCACTTCAATACATTTCAAAGGACTAGTAACGCACAGACCACTGCTTGGAGCATAGTAAAATGAAGTTAGGGAAATAAAAAACATATTCTTGAGTAGCTAAAATTAGATGCTTATTATTTGGCACAGTTTCATGACTGTTGTAACTGTCTTAGAGATGCAATTTTATTTTTATATTGTTACTTTGGATTTTCTATGGTGTTTTCTTTATTTTTAATCTTTCTGTATCATAAATTTTTATTAGGAGTATGAGAAAAAAACAGGGCTCTTGTGAGCAATATATGGTTAGGTTTCTTTTTAAACACAACCTGAGAATTTGCTTTTAAGAGAAAGCCATGTCATTTATCTGTTATCTTATTTTCATGCTGTTAGTGATACCCTTGCTGGTCCTTTATTTTCTTTTACAATATAAATTGTATTTTATATATTTTTGTCTTTGGTGGCAATTTGGAAGATACAAATCTTTTCAGCTTTATTAGAAATTACCTTTAAGTTAAAAAAAAAAAAAATTTTTTTAAAATAGAGACAGGATCTCACTATGTTGCCGAGCCTGGTCTTGAACTCCTAGTCTAATGTGATCCTCCCACCTTGGCCTTCCAAAGTGCTGCGATTACAGGTGCGAGCCACCACTCTTGACCCTAAAAACATTATTGACTCTGTATTTCTCCAAGTAGGAAAGTCAAGAATGTTGTTTGTAACGTCCTTCCACTGTAAGAGGAGGAATTTAACATGCTTTCCTTCCCCCGTCCATGTCCTCTTCACAGCCTCTCACCTCACTGCCCACTTTACTGGCCTTAATTTAATCTGGTATTATAGGGCTATGTCACTGTTACATCTGTTGAATTGTTATGTATTATGATTTTTGTAATTTTGGGTAAAATTTTTTATCACCTTTACAATGAATTATTTAATGGATTTTGAGGAGCTTGCCCTGTCCTTTTATACCCAAGTGCCCTCAATGAGAAGCTGCAGAGTCTCATCCATCGGCTGGAGGGCCTGAGTCAGTTCCCCATGAAGGGCTTGCATGTGTCAAAAAATGCCCCAGGGTCCTGGAAAGAGGGTGCTGTTGTGCAGCTGCCCACTTCTGTCCCCTCACCTTACTGTTGCCCACAGTCCTCACAAACCCCACTAGGCAGGGGTGCCCAGGTTTGGCGTCTTATAGTTATTTGCCTTCTGCAACTGTATTGCCCAAGAAGAGCTTTCCTCATGGCCCTTTGTGTTCTATCTCTGAAGCGGGGAAGCCAAGAGACAGGCTGGGGTTTGTCCTTGTCCAGACACGACCCTCTCCAGGGCTCCTTCAGCCAGCGCTCCCTGCAGAAGAATGTGACTCCACCCCAGGGTCCGCTATGCCCTGGGTCCTCGGGTCCCTCCCAGACCTGCGACGAGCTGGAGTCTTTCTGTTCACACAGGAAGAGTGTGTGAGTGGGGAGTGGTGCACACCAACTGCGCCCTGTCCACAGCAAGATCCCAAAAAGCTGCCATTTATCCCATGATGCATCTCCACCCTCGGTGGAGGCTGTGGGGCTGGGCTCAGCCTTCTTTCTACCCACTGTCCAGGAAGCCCTGCAGTTCTGTTTCAGAGGACAACAGGTCCCTGGTCCTCAAGAGGCACTCTTAATCCCAGCCCCGAACTCCTTCCTACCTGCTGTCCCTCCCTGCCTTAAAGAGCATTTTAATAGCGAAGTCTGGAGAAGGCCCCTCAGGGGCTGCCAGAGCGACACCATCTTGATCCCAGAGCCACACAGGCCACAAGGAACACAGGCACTGCAGGCAAGAGCCACCATGTCCAGGGGACCCAGGCATGGCCCCATGAGCCACATACCTCTTCATCGCCGGGCTCTGCAGACTGGCAGAGCCAGGGGGTGTCTGCCAGCCTCCTGAGCTGTCGGTCCATCTCGGTAAGAGCACTCCCCAGCTGCTCCTTCTGCGGCGGATCCAGCTGCTGCTCCGGGCAGAGGGAAGGAGGGAAAGATGGAGAGTGTGCGCTGCTGATCAGCGTGAGGCCCAGCGGGTGAGGCCCGCCCCAGGCCTCTGCTCTGATCAGGGAGCTCACTTTCCAGAAATGAAGTCCCAGAGCATTCGAGAAGGAACCAAACCCAGAACCTCACTTTCTAAATAGTGCTGGTGAGAGAATAAAACTGTCCATTGGTCAATGATGAATTCACATACAGCAGGGCTGACACATGACCTGCTTGTGTCCCTCTGTCAGCAAGGAGGTCAGAGTCATTCACCTGTGCCAAGCAGTGGAAATGCTGTAGGAGGCAAAGTCAGCAGTCGTGCCTTGCAGGAGGCAGCACGAGGTGTGCACTGAGGAGACGCATGTGACCACGGGACGTGTGGGATGACAGGAAGCGTCCAACAAGAGAGCCGTAGAGTGAGGTTTCTGTGGAGTGAGGAGATCCATGGAGTGACGGACGTGTGGAGTGAGGATATGCATGGAGTGATGAGATGCGTGGAGTGGGGAGATGTGTGGAGTGAGGAGATGTATGGAATGAGGAGATGTGTGGAGTGAGATGTGTGGAGTGGGGAGATGTGTGGAGTGTGGAGATGTGAGGAGATGTATGGGGTGAGAAGATGTATGGGGTGAGGAGATGTGTGGAGTGAGATGTGCTGAGTGGGGAGACGTGCGGAGTGGGGAGACATGTGGAGTGGGGAGACTTGCGGACAGGGGAGATGTGTGGAGTAGGGAGATGTGTGGAGTGTGAAGATGTGAGGAGATGTATGGAGTGAGGAGATGCATGGAGTGAGATGTGTGGAGTGAGGAGACGTGTGTGGTGGGAAGACGTATGGAGTGGAGAGATGTATGAAGTGAGGTGTAGAGTGGGGAGATGTGTGGAGTGGGGAGATGTGTGGAGTGAGGAGATGTGTGGAGTGAGGAGATGTGTGGAGTGAGGAGATGTGTGGAGTGAGGAGACGTGTGGAGTGAGATGTGTGGAGTGAGGAGACGTGTGGAGTGAGATGTGTGGAGTGAGGAGATGTGTGGAGTGATGAGACGTGTGGAGTGGGGAGATGTGTGGAGTGGGGAGACGTGTGGAGTGGGGAGACGTGTGGAGTGAGGAGACGTGTGGAGCGGGGAGATGTGTGGAGTGAGATGTGTGGAGTGGGGAGATGTGTGGAGTAAGATGTCTTGAGTGGGGAGATGTGTGGAGTGGGGAGACGTGTGAAGTGAGGAGATGTGTGGAGTAGGGAAATGTGTGGAGTAGGGAAATGTGAGGAGATGTGAGGAGATATGTGGAGTGAGAAGATGTGTGGAGTGAGGAGATGCGTGGAGTGAGATGTGTGGAGTGGGGAGATGTGTGGAGTGATGAGACGTGTGGAGTGGGGAGATGTGTGGAGTGGGGAGACGTGTGGAGTGAGGAGATATGTGGAGTGAGGAGATATGTGGAGTGAGGAGATGCGTGAAGTGAGATGCGTGGAGTGAGATGTGTGGAGTGAGGAGATGTGTGGAGTGATGAGACGTGTGGAGTGGGGAGATGTGTGGAGTGAGGAGATGTGTGGAGTGAGGAGATGTGTGGAGTGAGGAGATGTGTGGAGTGGGGAGACGTGTGGAGTGAGGAGACGTGTGGAGAGGGGAGATGTGTGGAGTGAGATGTGTGGAGTGGGGAGATGTGTGGAGTAAGATGTCTGGAGTGGGGAGATGTATGGAGTGGGGAGATGTGTGGAGTGGGGAGACGTGTGAAGTGAGGAGATGTGTGGAGTAGGGAAATGTGTGGAGTAGGGAAATGTGAGGAGATGTAAGGAGATATGTGGAGTGAGAAGATGTGTGAAGCGACTTGTGTGGAGTGAGGAGATGTGTGCAGTGAGGAGATGTGTGGAGTGAGATGTGTAGGGTGAGGAGATGTGTGGAGTGACGAGATGCGTGGAGTGAGGTGTGTGGAGTCAGGAGATGTGTAGAGTGGGGACATGTGTGCAGTGGGGACATGTGTGGAGTTAAGTATGTGGAGTGAGGAGATGTGTGGAGTGAGGGTATGTGTGAAGTAAGGAATGTGAGGAGATGTGTGGAGTGAGATGTGTGAAGTGAGGAGACTTGTGGAGTGAGATGTATGGAGTGAGGGGATGTGTGGAGTGTGGAGATGTGTGGAGTGAGGAGATGTGTGGAATGAGTTGTGTGGAGTGAAGAGATGTGTGGAATGAGGAGATGTGTGGAGTGAGGAGATGTGAGGAGATGTGTGGAGTGACGAGATGTGTGGAGTGGGGTGATCTGTGGAGTGAGGAGATGTGAGGAGATGTGTGGAGTGACGAGATGTGTGGAGTGGGGTGATGTGTGGAGTGAGGAGATGTGTGCAGTGAGGAGATGTGAGGCGTGTGGAGTGGGGAGATGTGTGGTGCGGGGAGATGTGTGGAGTAGGGAGATGTGTGGAGTGTGAAGATGTGAGGAGATGCATGGAGTGAGGAGATGTGAGGAGATGTGTGGAGTGAGATGTGTGGAGTGAGGAGACGCGTGGAGTCGGGAGACTCGTGGAGTGAGGAGACGCGTGGAGTGAGGAGACGCGTGGGGTGGGGAGACGCGTGGGGTGGGGAGACGCGTGGGGTGGGGAGACGCGTGGGGTGGGGAGACGCGTGGGGTGGGGAGATGTGTGCGGTGAGGAGACGTGTGCAGTGAGGAGACGTGTGCAGTGAGGAGATGTGTGTAGTGAGGAGATGTGAGGCGTTGTGTGGAGTGGGGAGATGTGTGGAGTGGGGAGATGTGTGGAGTGAGATGTGTGGAGTGGGGAGATTTGTGAATTGAGGAGATGTGTGCAGTGAGGAGATGTGTGGAGTGAGATGTGTGGAGTGAGATGTGTGGAGTGAGGAGATGTGTGGAGTGAGCTGTGTGGAGTCAGGAGATGTGTAGAGTGGGGACATGTGTGCAGTGGGGACATGTGTGGAGTTAAGTGTGTGGAGTGAGGAGATGTGTGGAGTGAGGAGATGTGAGGAGATGTGTGGAGTGAGGAGATGTGTGGAGTGGGGAGATGTGTGGAGTGGGGAGATGTGTGAAGTGAGATGTGTGGAGTAGGGAGATGTGTGGAGTGGGGAGATGTGTGGAGTGAGGAATGTGAGAAGATGTGTGAATTGAGGAGATGTGTGGAGTGAGGAGATATGTGGAGTGAGATGTGTGGAGTGAGATGTGTGGAGTGAGGAGATGTGTGGAGTGAGCTGTGTGGAGCGAGGAGATGTGTAGAGTGGGGACATGTGTGCAGTGGGGACATGTGTGGAGTTAAGTGTGTGGAGTGAGGAGATGTGTGGAGTGAGGAATGTGAGGAGATGTGTGGAGTGAGGAGATGTGTGGAGTGAGATGTGTGGAGTGGGGAGATGTGTGAAGTGAGATGTGTGGAGTAGGGAGATGTGTGGAGTAGGGAGATGTGTGGAGTGAGGAATGTGAGAAGATGTGTGAATTGAGGAGATGTGTGGAGTGAGGAGATATGTGGAGTGAGATGTGTGGAGTGAGGAGATGTGTGGAGTGAGATGTGTGGAGTGGGGAGATGTGTGAAGTGAGGAGATGTGTGGAGTGAGGAGATGTGAGGAGACGTGTGGAGTGAGAGGAGATGTGTGGAGTGGGGAGATGTGTGGAGTGGGGAGATGTGTGGAGTGAGATGTGTGGAGTGGGGAGATTTGTGAATTGAGGAGATGTGTGCAGTGAGGAGATGTGTGGAGTGAGCTGTGTGGAATGAGGAGATGTGTAGAGTGGGGACATGTGTGTAGTGGGGACATGTGTGGAGTTAAGTGTGTGGAGTGAGGGTATGTGTGGAGTCAGATGTGTGGAGTGAGGAGATGAGTGGAGTGTGGAGATGTGTGGAGTGCAGATGTGTGGAGTCAGATGTGTGGAGTGGGGAGATGTGTGGAGTTAGGAGATGAGTGGAGTGTGGAGATGTGAGGAGATGTGTGGAGTCAGATGTGTGGAGTGGGGAGATGTGTGGAGTTAGGAGATGAGTGGAGTGTGGAGACGTGAGGAGATGTGTGGAGTCAGATGTGTGGAGTGTGGAGATGTGTGGAGTGTGGAGATGTGTGGAGTGAGGAGATGCGTGGAGTGAGATGGGTGGAGTGGGGAGATGCGCGGGGTGGGGAGATGCGCGGGGTGGGGAGATGCGCGGGGTGGGGAGATGCGCGGGGTGGGGAGATGGGCGGGGTGGGGAGATGGGCGGGGTGGGGAGATGGGCGGGGTGGGGAGATGCGTGGAGCGAGGAGATGTGTGGAGCGGGGAGACGTGTGGAGTGGGGAGACGTGTGGAATGATGATATCTGTGGATGAAGAGATTCGTGGAGTGAGGAGTTGAGGGCTGGGAAACCACACCTTGGGTGGTTCTCCGGTTGTCGAATATTTAGCAAACCCATTCCTCCTCTTCATCTTTAAAACCACAAGGCTGGCCAGTTCTTCCCTGAGGCCTCTCCCTGTTCTAGCCGCTGTGATTCAGTAACAGCCCCGTGGCTGCCCCAGGGCTGACATATCAGCCGGTTTTGCAGGGCTGAGCGTGCAAGGTGCCTGAGAGTGTGACCAGCTCTCGGCAGGAGCAGGACTCTGCAGTATAGGTTTCTTGTGTCCAGAAAAGCATCTTGTGTCCACTATGACAAAGGTGTTCCTGCTGCAAGCGCTTCTTGCATGCTTGAGACAACTTGACTGAAGGGTTGCCAGCAGGGGTGGGCACCAGCCGCACGACAGACCAAATGACCTCTGAGGCCCCTTCCTTAAGGCCAGGAACTCTGGACTAAGGTGTGCTGCCCTCTATTCCCAGCAACCTAGTGATAGCAGTCGTTTCACACACAGCCCAAGCCCTGCTGTTCCCGGGGCACCAGCTTACCAGGGCCATCTTCCCAGACAGCAGCAGCTCCGTCTCACTGCGCAGAGCTCTGAAGTTATTCACCATTTCCAGGACAAAGCTGCAGTTCAGCCCCTAGGAGAAACCAAGGCAAACATGCATGGGGAGGGCCAAGGGCTGCAGACGCTGAGGAGAAGCCAAGACTGAAAAGGCCAGAATAGCTACCTCTGTGGTTCTGGGCTTGCCATACACCCGGTCCATCGACTTGGAGCTGGCATTGACGGCGTGGGCCAGTTCCTGCTCCATGTCCCGATGAGACTGAGCTATTTCTCGGATACTAGAGAGGAAGAGAAGCACGGGCAGATGTCAGGCCAAATGGAAGGGCAGCCTTTCACAATACTCATCTGAACACAGCCCAGCTACCACCCGGAGGGCTGATGCGGAGGGCAGGCCCAGCAGGACCACAGGGACCATGGCTCAGCCCAGCGACCGTTCAGTCACAAGCTTGGGCACAGGACGACCAACAGCAAATGGGAGGGCTTACAGGAGTCATCTGATATCAAAATTCAATATTTTCCAGGGAGAGAAATGTACAAAATGAGGCTTCCAAGCTATAAAACGGTCAGTGGGCAAGCAGCAGTGTGCACAGGCCCACTGCAGAGACTGCTACAATAAGACACAATCCCCAGATGCCCACAGCCTTGCTGGAACCTGTAGCTGGCCGGTCTGTCCCTGGGGACAAAAGGACCCTCATCTGAAGAGGACAATCCTGGTGTAGTGATGGGCTCTGAGCCAGACCCCAGGCAGCAGCCTTTATGGGGAAGACAGTGAAAGCACAAGTCACACCAGGTCTCAGGGAGGCGGAGACGTGGCTCAGGCAGGTGAGATGGGGGGACAGAGATTATAGGAGCAGTGCAAGCAGAGGCAGCGGGGCCAACCTGTCCTGACCCTGTGGAAATAGGCCACTGCCAGCAGCTTCCTGCAGTGCTGTGCAAGTGCACCTTCCAGGCAGGCCACAGGGGCCACCATGGGCTTTGAGGGGACAGGGTAATGGCCTTCCAGGGGAGGCCACCAGAAGCCTACTGCATAGCAAGGAATTAGCTGAACTGAAGTCCTCCAGCCCCATCACTGATCTGGGTGGGGCGGGAGAGAGACGAGGACAGGGGCCGCAGTGGCACCAACTCCTGGGGCAGAGAATGCGGCGCCAGGAAGGACTGCAGCCGGTATGGAAGTGCAGAGCCAGGAACGTCGGCGATGACTGGGACAGCGACCACCTGCTCAACAAGAGCTGGAGGCTGGCACAGATGATCCATCTGCATGCCAGGGCTGGGCAGGCTGCCTGGAAGGGCACACAGCACGCCGGGCACAGAACCGACGGGTGCACCCATCCACAGCCAGGAGAAGAGGGAGTCCGGAGGAAACAAGAAAGGGACACCAGGGCACCAGCCAGCGTGCGGCCACGGGGAGAATGCAGGCAGGAAGGCCCTGTACCGGTGAAGAACCACAGGTGCCAGCTGGAGGGGCTCACAAGCGGCACCCGCACAGGGCAGGCGAGGAGCAGGGACAGCAGACAATGCTGACCACCAGCCACGAGGGACAGGCACAGTGGCTCCAGGGGCATTTCTAGAAGGCAGGTGAGAGGAAATGCCCCTAGCAGTTGTCTTTTTTTTTTTTTTTTTTAAGTAAACTTGAAAACAAAGAGCAAGCCTGTTCTCAGGGTAAAATGAGGGCAAAGTGAAGGAGGCTGTCAGCGGCTGCCCTTGGGAGTCAGGGCAGGGTTTTTTTGGTTTTTTTTGAGACGGAGTCTCGCTCTGTCACCCAAGTTGGAGTGCAGTGGCACGATCTCGGCTCACTGCAACCTCCGCGTCTCGGGTTCAACCAATTCTATTGCTTGAGCCTCCCGAGTAGCTGGGACTACAGGTGCCCGCCACCACGCCTGGCTAATTTTTTTTGTATTTTTAGTAGAGACGGGGTTTCACCATGTTAGCCAGAACGGTCTCGATCTCCTGACCTCGTGATCCGCCCACCTCGGCCTCCCAAAGTGCTGAGATTACAGGTGTGAGCCACCACGCCAGGCTGAGCCAGGGCAGGTTTTAAATGAGTGGCCCTGAAAATCACAGTGGGTTTTAAGATCCAGCCAAGTAAACTCCAGGTGAGTTCTGAAAGACCGTTGGGGAAATGAGCCAGAGCTGAGGGCACACGGAAACGGGCTCGGCCCTCATGGGTAATGCAGACCCCGCAAAAATCAGGAGCAGCAGCTCTACGCCCCAGGGGCCCTGGAGGAGCGCAGTCCTGGGAACCCCGGGGGGTGCTCATGGGCAACGCAGAGGGGCAGGAGCCCACCTGTGAATGAGGACCCCCGCCGCCTGCCCAAACTGGTCCATCTGGGTGGCCTCCTCCTCGGACAGCATCTCCGGGTGCAGGGAACAGGATGGAGGGCGGGGCAGCTCACACTTCTGCTTGTCTTCCCAGGACTTCAGGGTGCTCTCAAATGCCTATGGACCCGAGAGCCCGATTACACCTGCTGCCCTGAAGCATGCGTCTAACCGCCACAGACACTATGGGGACACCAATGAGATCACAACTAGGAAAGGGACAAATGGGATTTTTTTTCTTAAACATTAGGGGAAGGAGATGGTCCTAGAAATTACTGCCCTATTAGTTTAATCGTTGTGTCTTAAAAAAAAAAAATCCTAGAACAAAACACAAAAAGCTCCAGCTCTTAACAGTGCACACAAGCGCCTGCAGGTGAGCCCTGGACCCCCCCCAGGTACCGCGGGTGGCCGCTCTTACCCTGTCTCTGGTCAGTGTCTGTGCCCGGTTCTTGTGGACAATCCGAATGTACCCTGGCGGCTGGACCCAGGCCTCTCCGTCCACCTGCACAGGCACGCCCTCATCCCCAAGGATGGAGATCTTCACTGTGCGACACTGAGCAGACATCACAGCCATTACTCGTGCTGAGCCAAAACCCCCAGGGGTTTTAAAGTGCTGTCGGCACCACCACGACCTTCCTGCTCCACACACGCGTCCCTGCCTTGCAGGACACCCCACCTCCGCCTCTGGGATGGCACTCCGCCTGCAGCTAGCCTTCTGCTGTTGTGTCACCGAGCCAAGGGTCTGTTCTCCCACTGTCCCGCCCCATCCTGCCCCGTCCCCTCACCGAGCAGTCAGTGCAGGAGACCTTGGTGCTGAGACAACAGGTGTCAGAACCCAGGGGCAGGGGTGTCGTAGCTCCCAGCAGCCACTGGGCCCCTGCCACGTAAAAACACCCCCAGAAAAGAGCAGATGGCATCGCGGATGACGATGAGCCATCCAACATCATCCTATTCCTCCTTTTCAACAACAAACATTGCCAAAGAGTGAAAATTGTGAACTTCAAGCAGCCCACAGCTAAGGGCAGACAGAGCGCTGGAAGAGACCAGACAATCGCAGGCTGGGGTTCAGCCAGTGGGTGGCATCAGCACCCTCCCCCGCCCCAGTGCCTATGCCTGGGCACAGAGTCCTGCCCCATCAGCCCATCACTGCTGTCAGAAATAAGCCATGGGGGCACTCCCAGCCCTTCACCACTGGGCATCAGAACCGTGATCAAGGGCCCCATGGAAATCCCCCCATACCCCACACCAGAGCCATGGGCTCCGTCCCCACCTCCAGCTGCAGCTTTGAAAGTCGCAGACACGGGCAGAGTTCACCCTGGGTGTGCTCTATCTCATTCCACCTCAGAGGGGACAGGCAAGGCTGGGGCTCAAGCGGGATACACATTTTGAAAGAGTTATCTTGGCCGGGTGCAGTGGCTCACGCCTGTAATCCCAACACTTTGGGAGGCCGAGATAGGTGGATCATTTGAGGTCAGGAGTTCGAGACCAGCCTGGCCAACATGGTGAAACCCCGCTTCTACTAAAAATACAAAAATTAGCTGGGAACGGTGGTGGGTGCCTATAGTCCCAGCTACTCCTACTCGGGAGGCTGAGGCAGGAGAATCACTTGAACCAGGGAGATGCAGGTTGCAGTGAGCCGAGAATGCACCACTGCACTCCAGCCAGGGCAACAGAGTGAGACTCTGTCTCAAAAAAAAAAAAAAAGAAAGAAAGAAAACAGAGAGTTATCTTGAGAATTTAACTGTCAAGCATAGCACGAGGAAAGGGCTCTGGCCCAGGAAGTGGGGCCACGAGCTGTCCAGAACAGGACATGAGGCAGCCACGTGGCCCTGGAAAGCACCCACCCTCCCAGTCTCCAAGCGCTGCCCGAGAATTTAGCACACTCCCAGCCAGGCACCCCAGGACCATGGCCACTACCTGGGCGATCCGATGATGCTGCAGCCTGATGACTCGAGAGACGGCCATCTGCATGCTGCCGAACACGGCGACCACCTCCAGAATCTTGTCATCGAATGATGGAGCTGTGAAAGTCTGCAAGGGACACGTTAGAGCTGACCACCACTCCACACATCCCCGCATAGGTCATCCCTCCCCTCGCTCCCTCCCTCTCGGGGTCAGCCCCTCCCAGCTGGCGGGAAGTTACCAGGTAACTGCACTCCTGAGGGGCCTCATGTTGCAGGCCCTGAAACCAGCTGCCTGGGTCCAAATCCCAGCTCTAACCCTGGCAAAGTTACCGAATCTCTCTCTCTCCCCCATTTCCTCATATGTAAAATGGGGAAACTAATGGCACGCTCCTCCAGGGCCATCAGTAGGGCCGAGTGAGTTAACACTGCAGAGTGCCAGGACTGGGGACAGCACACACCACGTGTGCAGGAAGCGCTGAATATTTCTATTCGCTAGTACGTACAAAGGAAGGTTTAAACCAGGTTTAAACCTATGAACACCTTCCCACAGTTCTTAATACAAATTCCAAACTTCTTCCCCGGCTCACACGGCCCAATGTGACCCAAGCCCTGGAGACCTCTCCTCTCTCTCCACACTCCTGCTGCCCGCTGCAGTCAGGGCACCTCTCCCACATCCTCCATGTGCCTGCCCTGTCTTGACTCTGAGCCTTCATCTATGCAATTCTCTCTGCCTGGAAGAGCCTCCCCTTCTCCTCTGCCCACCTAACTTGGCCAACTCCAAGTCATCCTTCAGATCTTGGCCTCCCAGACACCTTCCCTGACCCTCCTTCCACATCATACCCTCTGACCACATCTGCTGACCACAGACCCTCACTGACCACCTTCACTGACACATCTGCTCTGCTCAGCCCTCTAGACGATGAGCTGGGTGGGGGACCCTGTCTATCTTGTTCTCCATGGCAGCCCCACTGCTGGCACAAGGGAAGGGCTGGATCCACCGCAGCCATAGCAGAACACCTCCCTGCTCTCGGACAGCTCTTCCCCACTCAGCTCAGGCCCACCCGCCCACACCCCATACATACATCATCTTCCTTGGTTCCCCCCCAGAAGTTGGTTCCTCCAGCATAGCTGGGAATGTTAAGGACAGCAATTCCCTGAAGACTGGGGAGTGGGATGGGTCGCCCGTCACACTGAGCAGCAAAGACACAGAACAAAAGAAAAGAGAAAGGCATGAGTCAGCTGCTCCTTCTCTACCAGCTTCCCACCGCCAGGGGCTCGGGAGCACAGCGGTGGCCAGGGCATCTCCAGGCAAGTCCCTGTGCATGGAGGAAATGGTCAACAGGAGAAGCGACAGGACTGGCAGTCTGCTGATGGATGGAGGCCGGCCTGCAGGTGACAAGGACCCTCCCACTCACCTCCAGCAAGACCTTTTGTTCCAGGTTCTTGTAGGTTCTGTGCAGCAACTCTTTGGTTCCAAGAACTCCATACCACATCATGTTCTTGGTTCGGCTCCTAGAAACAGAAGCAAACACTGGGCTTTCTTGGTACAGTTAACCGGAGTCATTTCTGTGAACGCTGGGAATGGCATCTGACCCACAAATCAGCTACATTTAGCAATTATTTACAGCAGTAACAACTGAAGGACACATTTTTGTTTTTGCAGATATGCATAAAGAGATATGTTTACCAATGGGAAATTTTGCTAAATAGTAACATTTTGCCAAGGAAGTAACCATACCCTGAAAGGTAAATAAATAAAGTTAAAACATTATAGAACTCTATAAAAAAAACTTCACATCCTGATTTTTTTTCTGCCTAAAAAATTATGCTTACCATAGAAAAATTAGAAAATATAGAAAAGCACCAAAGAGAAGGCACTCCTCATAATCCTCCATGCATAATCCAGCACCTCTATGCACCCTCCACGTGTGCTAATGACAAATACCCAGTGCTGCTGTGGATTTCCTCAGTCTTCTTTGCATATTTATTTCCAGTTGCAGTAACTTGTTTATGGTTTCACCACCTACTTGGTCCACTTTACCCTACGCCAGCAACACTTCCCTCTGTCGCCACACGCTCTCTGCAGACGTGGCCATCCTCAGCCGGCACTGCTCTACCACAGCTTATCAAACCAATCCCCTTGACTACACTCCTTCGCCCCATGCCCAAGCTCTGTAAACGACACACTAGGAGCCCCTTCGTACCTACTTCAACCAACATTTCCAGTGACTTCTGTAGAAATTTCCAATGACATTTGTAGAAGTGGAATTTTTCTCAGGAGAACTTTTCAAAGCTCTCAATACAAACTAAAGAGAGGTTTGACCAGGGTTCCAAGGCTCTAGAAATGTATTATGTGTGCCCCTGTTCCTCAACTACTTATTTCACCCTGCTAAAGTATGCGTATTTTAATACTTTTCCCAGTGATTTTTGGACTAATAGGGATTTTTAAATGATCTGATGTCACCATCCGGTGCTGTACAGGGATATGTCCCTGGGGCCCCTGAGCCATTTTCTCCTGCACCTAACAGCCTCAGGGTTCAAAAGTTCTTTGAGTTCTGATGCTTTTGTTTTCCTAGAAATTTCCAACTACATATAACATGAGCAATGACTAAAGTTGGCCCCTGAGGTGTCACCATGGCTCCCCTCAAGGTGGCAGTGACACCATGAGGAGGATGAGGCCACATGGGACCACGTGGCTTGGTTCATTCAAGCCAATCCTGACTCAGCGGATGAAGAATCCAGCAGGGGTCTCCCAGCTTCTGGGTCAAGGGCTATTCTCTGCACAAACACCGTCAACCCCCACACCCATTTCTCCCTCGCCCTAGTTCTAATCATGTCAAAGCTGAACGGTTTCTCCGGTTATTACTGTGGGGTGGGGTGGGAGACATTTCTCCCTCACTTCTTGTGTTTCACAGACAAGAGGGAATTCTACTTCAGCCCAGGAAGAAAAGCTTGAGAAGAGGGACCCTTCTCATTTTTCTCCATCCTCTCTTCAGATCAAGACCAAGTATCCAGTAATTTTAGGCGAAAAAACTGAGCATCCCCAATGATGTCCCTTGGGGCTCGCACGCCACCGTCTTCCTGCAGAGGTCGGACTCAAGGGCCTCATGGGCAGGCTCGGGTGTGATGGGGGAGAGCTAGCTGGGGTGCCGATGAACACACAGACCCTCCAACAAACAATGCTGGGCACTTACGCTATAGGTGCAATAACTTCTTGGCACACCTGCCGCTTTTCTGTAGTATCACGGACTCAGGCCTCTCATTAAGAGACGCAGCCATTCCAATGACCACCACCACTGGTTTTCTGATGTTGAATTTCCCTTGACCTGGCCGGCCCGAGAGGTGCTTCCCTTCCATCTCTGAAAGCACCCGTGCTTCTGACAAGGAAATCTGGGCTCTACTTCTGCCCCCAGCCTTAGCATTCTGCACGTTCTTTAACCTGCTGAATCCAGAAATCTGCTACTGTTTGGAAGGAGAAGCCACGCCCCTGAGCCTGTTACCTACCTGCACTTCTCTGGGTGTTCATCGCGCTTGTTATTAAAGTCCAGGGATATCTTTGCATCCAGGCCGATGCCAAAATAGTTGTTCATGACACATTTCTCCGTGTAATACTCTCTGCAAAGGTGAGTTTTAAATCAATTACAACAGCCCTGCTTCCAGCGTGGACATGTTTTCAGTTCAATCCCACATGGCCCAGCAGTTCTGCGCCTGCTGGTCACACGGCAGCTCTGGGCTGAACCTCCAGTGGAGCTGCCGGACTGTTCCCCACAGCAGCTGCCCATCTTACACTCCACCAGCAGCACCAAACCTGAAGATATGTTTACGGCACAGAAACTCACACATTTCAACTCTGGATCTCAAAACATTTCTCAAACATCCCTAGTTACAATCAAAGCTGTCGCCAAATTACAAAGGAAAATGACTTGAAAACATCCATGCCAGCCCCACAGCAACAAGGCTTCCCTTTCCCCATGTGCGACAGACAAGAAGAGACTCATCTCATTCAAGTTTCTTGCCCCCACCCAGCGGGAAGTCCTGCCCCTGCAGCTCCCCCAGCTGCTGGGAAAGCTCAGCCTGGCCTTCACCCTCCCCAGCCCCAGGGTCACACTGGGGCTCCCCCCCAGGGCAGGTGGATGAAGGGAGGAAACCCTGTTCCTCCACCCAGAGGCCACAGCCAGGAGAAGAGGATGTTCTGGAAGTTTCCAAAGAAACTCAGTGGGTGGATGGGCCTGGGAACATTGCTCAGGCCAGAATTCTGACACACTTTCGCTTACTGAGCGAAGTGTAAGCGAAGTGCCGCCAGATCTGAGAGCAACCAGCACGTGTCAGTGTATTTATGATCCATCTAATTCAAGTGCCCGACAGCTGAGCCAGAGCAAAGCTCTGGGACAAAACTGTTTACCAGGCGGAAGACCACGTGCCTGGCCAGCATGTATAGGTCCTGGGAAAAGAGAGAGATCCAACGGAGAGAAACAGGGCAAAGAGATGAGGGAAGGCAGCAGAGAGACTGGGCTCAGGGGCCTGGAGCAGGAGGGGCAGCAGTGGCCGGGGCAGTGGGAGATGATGGGGTGCCGGGGCCTGCTCAGGCCCAGCTGCAATGGGGCCTACACAATACGGCCCAGGCACACACCACGGCAGGAAGGCAGCAAACCACAGCTTTGTCTCCCCAGGTGAAGAGAAGAGATAAGACCACCCAGCTTAGCAACAGAGGTGGAAGTTCCACAGTCTCAGATGAAGTAGACAAAGGAGATATCCAGTTCAGGGGCCCCTAGGGACAGTGCTCACTGTAGGACTGCAGCTCTGGCCTCCCCAAGGAAAACAGCCTCAGGAGGGCTGAGAACTGGAGCCCCAGGCAGCCCCAGGGGAGGAGTAAACCAGGCCAGGAACAGGGACACTTTAGTGTTGCACCAGGCCAGCACCTGGAATCTAAGGGTCCACTTTCCCAAACCCAGAGCCTCTGTGAACCACACATTTCTTCCTGTCACTGCCCCTGACCACTCCAGAAAAATGGCTGGCCATGTTTAACCAACTGCCATCAGCTGCCCAGAACCTGCAATCAGCCAGCAGAAAGATGAGTCTAGAAAAACAGGTTTTCAAAACACCACTTGTCTCCACAATGGTCTCCAATACCTAGGAAGACTCCATTAAACTGTTATACACATGTCTCCACTGCCTTACAGGCCAGCAGAGGAAGAAGGCCTTGTCCCCAACGGAGTAGAGTGTCAGCACGCAGGCACACAAGCAGCCCTTACAAGCCTCAGCACAGGCCGGTGTCTCCCTGGGGTGCTCGGAGACACGAAGGGGGCACACAGAGGACCCTCCAGCCCAGAGCCTATTGTTCTGCGTCACCAACAAGGAGAGCAGGTTTTAGAGGAAAGCAGGGGGAGGGATGGCAAGAGGAAGATGGCAGGCTGTAAGCAGAAGTCAGTGAGGTCCAGCCAAGGTCATGGGAGAGTGAACATGAAGAGCAGCACAAGGGCAGCTCCCGGCAGGAGCAGCTGAGCCTGTGAAAAGCCTCGGAAGGGCACGCAGGCTCAGGGGACATCGAGCAAGCACTGTGGGACCTTGGGAAGGAGGTGGGAGACGTGCGCTCTGCCTCTGCAGATGGGCAGTAGTGGTTTCCAGGTCCACTCCTTAAGTGGAATCTCCACGACTTCTCAGCCTTCCTTATCAGCTACCACCGATTTCTCTAGTTAACCCTGAGATCTGCTTTCTATGCACTAGCAGCCATGTAACAATACGCCCACTTGGTTTATCCCTCATACTCACAGGGTTTCTGGTTCAGAGTTAAAGGGATCAGCATTAATTAACAGGCGACTGATGACTGAGCCACCGGGTAAGGAACCAGACATTCCAGCCCGGACATCTATAAAGGAGATATAAGAAAGAGGTGTGCTGGTCAGGAGCTACAGACTTAAGAGAAGCCCGTGTGTCTGAAGCTGGTGGACCGGTATTCTGCAGAATATTATCATAATTAAACGTTTCTAAAATTATGTATAACCATGTCCAAATTTCACCAATAGTCTTAGGTCAAAAATCACTCGAACAAAAAAACCACACTGGGTGGCAGAAACCAACACCTACAAAACACATTTAAAAACGGCTTCTAAGGCCGGGTGCGGTGGTGTGTGCCTGTAGTCCCAGCTATTTGGGAGGCTGAGTGGGGAAGATCACTTGAGTCCAGGAGGTCAAGATGCAGTGTGCCATGACCACACCACTGCACTCCAGCCTGGGCAATAGAGAGAGAGCCTCTTTTTTAAAAAAAAAAAAAAAAAAAAAAAAGGCTTACAGAGTCAGTTTTCATGTTCTCATCAAATGTAAGCCACTCCACCAAAAAGATCTCTGAGAGTTGAGGCTTAAGGCTTTATAAGGTTGCCTTCATAAGAAATGAACATCAAGGAATGCTCCAGGCGGCCAGGACCTCACCCTCCCTGCACCTCCTGCAATCACGCTAGAAGCATGGGACGGTCTCTCGGGTTCCCTCATCAGGCTGGCCACCTCCCTTTTCCACTCAGAAATCTAATTCCTTTATTCTTCAAAATCTGACTCAAGCATCACCTTCTCAATGACGTCTTCCTGGGCTCCTTGGGTGGTTATCTGGGTACTAATTGGCTTTTGTTTTTTTTTAAAAAAAGAAGCACTTTTCACACAGTTGTGTAAAGTTTTAAATTCCACCTATCTTTCTCAGGGACCTGTAAACTTTCCAAGGGCAGCAACCCCATCTCTTCCAGCTTGACGGACCCAGCGCCCAGCACAGCGACAGGCCCAGCATTGTGCTAGGGCCCCCACTAGTCCCTCCTGCTGGCCGCCACTCACTTGGGTACAGGATCTTGGTGTTGAGTGCAGGCAGGCCGTCCCGGCTTCCCGGCTGGGGCGGAAGGGAAGCAGAACTGCCCAGGGACAGACTTCCTTTGCTGATCAGCTTTTCACACGGAGATTTCAACACTGTAACAACAGAACAGAAAACCTTACAGCTGTCTGGAATAGAGACTGTGAAATACCTGAGGGGTCCTTAGTGACATGAGCAGGTGCACAGCTGTCTGAAATACAGGCTGTGAAATACTGGGGAGTCCTTAGCAACATGAGCAGGTGGGAGGGCTGAGGAGGGAGGGATGCAAACCACAGGCAGTTGCGTGAAGTGTGTGGGACAAAGAAGGGGGCGGAGGACCGAGTGGGTGCACATGATGCTTGGGGGGTTGGGCTCATGGAGAGGGTAACAGGCCACAGGTGGCAACGCTGGAGGGAGGGGTGAGCCCAGTCAGTTTGGGCTGTGGGAGGCAGAGCGCACACACAGCAGAGCTCTGAGTGGTGGCCATGCAGTGGCCGTGGGTCAGTTCTGAGCACAGGCCTCCCAGCAGCCAGAACAGGCTTGGGGTACCCTCCACCAGGGCCTACGCTGTGGACTGTTCCAGAAGGGGCAAGGACAAAGGCGGCCCCCCCTCACCTACCCACCTTCCCTCTGCCAGACACAGCCCCTTCCGAGCAGTTGTGGGGTCCAGGGTGGTTCTGAGGAAGCAGTGAGGGCAGAACGCAAGTGCTCCTCAGGGAGGCGGTCCTCGCCCTGACGGAGGGGGTCTTGTGGGTTCTACTGGTGTCCACCAAGGCAGACCACACACACCTCAAGGGCACGCACAGGAGATGCACAGAAACAGGCCTTGGGCGGTGAATTTTTATGCAACCAAGTGGCCAAAGCAACTACGAGAAAGTGCCCTAAAACCTCCCCTGGCAATCCCACTACGTCTCACCAAAACCAAGCACACCGAGGTACGCAGAGGGAGGTGGAGCCACGGGTACCTTTGCGCTGGCTCCTCCCCTTGGGGACCCCGAAGCTCTCGCTGTGGGACAGTGGTGGGCACACTCTGTGGTCCATCTTCTCCTCTGACTCAGAGAGGCCCAGGACGAAGCCCTCCTGCTCCTGGGTCTGGGCATTCTGCTCATCGACAGCTGTACAAGGAGAGTGTGTGCGGCTGAGCACGCAGGTGCAAAGCCAAGGGCACTGTCAGGCTGGGTGGAGGTCCCCTCCTCACCCCACGGCCTGATCTTCATCAAACATCCTCTGGCTAAAGGCTTGGACTCTGAACCCCCACCCCCACCCATCTTCCCCCTGGTCCTGGCACTGGGGCAGGGCATCCCTGCTAACAGGCTGGGAGGACTGGAACCCTCGCAGGGGAAGGCAAGGGGTGCAGAGGAGCCTGGCGAAGGCTGGAGGGCTGCAGGCAGAAGGAGCGGCCACATGGACACGCAGGTGTGCGGGTGTGAGACCGTGACCGCAGGTCTCACAGGAGTGAGACGCTTATAGCGAAGTCAATGAGGGCTAGGAAAGAGGTCAACGGGAGGCAGCATGAAGGGGTCTGAGGGTGTGAGAGGAGGGTGGAGGCAGGGCAAGCAACTGGCTGCGGGCCTGGCGCCTGCACACAGGTGGAGAGGGCCAAGGTGGAGGTTTTCTCAACGAGCACCCTTCCGTCATCACCGTGTTCAGGGGACGCTGGGCATGCCCAGTGCTGGGGAAAGCCCCCTCCTCCTCAAAAGATAGTCACCTTTTTCTGTGTGTTCTATGATCTGACGAATCGCTTTCTTCAGGCTGTTGGCTCTCAGCATGAGCTGTTCTCGAGGCCGGAATATCTGCGGCCGGGCCGGGCAGGCTGATGCCACCAAGCGGTCCCCAGTGGAGCCACAGACGCTGCCCGACCCATCTCCATCTTCAGCCTCCTCAGCAATGGTCGGGGGTGGGTTGGGCAGAGAGGACGAGGCCTGGGACTCATCGTCCAAGGTCTTGAGAAGGGAATCCAGCTTCTCTTTCAGGACAGAGCACTGAACAAGGAAAGGAAATGGCACACAGAGCTGAGGCAGGAGAACAGGGTCTGGAGGCAGGGAACCTCAGGCCATTTCACCCACACTTCCTAGAACTCAATCAAAAGGAAAATCCTAACTCTCCACGCCTCAGTAACAAAAGGACCAGAGGCTACTCCCTTTGCAAATCCCCACCTTTTCTGCCCAGGCAGGTGGAAAATAGGAGAAACTGGCTGTCTGCAACCAACCAGACTGACTCCGGGCTGAGTCTTAGTCTGCACAGAAGTGTAACTTTGTAATTTCTGTAGCCTCTGATTGGTTGTAAAAAAGCAATCAGATGTTTGCACAGGAGTGTGACCTTTGTAACCACTTCAGCCTCTGGTTAGCTGCTTTCTGCCACCAATCAGACTGACTGCGGACTACCACTTCATTTACATGAGGTGAGCATGAAGTGGCCAATGGGAAACTTCTAAGAGGTATTTGGACCCAAGAAGATTCTGTATCTGGGCCCTTGAGCCGATGCTCGGGCAGCTCCCACACTGGAGTGTACTTTCACTTTCAATAAATCCCTGCTTTCGTTCTTCATTGCTTCATTCTTTTCTTCCTTTACTGTGCGTATTGCCTAATTCTTTGTTCAAAACGCCAAGAACCTGGACAACCTGCAGTCACGGCCCTCTACTGGTGTCAGAGGAAGCTTCTCGCTGCCTCAATGGCCCTCCCACCCAGGGCACGGGAACAGACCTTCTTGGCCATGACCTCTGACTCCTCCGAGCTCTCGGTCGTCTTCTCATAGGCCTTCCCCACCCGGGCCACGAAGTCCTTCACCGTCTCACAGAGCACTCTGTGGGGAGAGAAACAGAAAGACCCTTCTAGAGAGGCAGCTCCAGGCTGGGGGGCCAGGGCACCATGCCTTCCCCAGGGCCACCAGGCACTCACTTGGCCGAGGAGATGACCACCGAGTGCTGGTCCGAGGTAAGGATTTTAGAAAGGTGGGCTGCAACCGAGTCTTCATAGAAGAGAATTTGCTGTACCTGCAATCACCCCAAATGGCCAGGACTGTTGGTCTCTGTGACAGCAAGCTCTGTGACAGTCCCAGTGACTCTGTCACCTACTTCCTTGCCAGCACAGGCTGGGAAAGATGAGTCTCTCCTAACAGACACTGTCTGACCCAGCCAAGCCTCGACTCACTTCAAACGCTAATCTGAGACTCACCTAGTGCTAGGTGAAAGATTTTAAAAGCTTCGTCAAGCTGCAGACAAACTACAAATGAATCTCCTTCAGTCTGCGATCCCAGCACGGCCTGTGCTAGGGGCTGTTCTGACCCCTACTCATCCTGACAGCAGTGTGCTCATGGGTCAGCTCCAGGTTTGGGTCCGTTCGCAGCAGAGGCTGTTTCTACCTGGCTGTGAGCCCCATCCGAACACACTCTTCCCCCTACCATCTGCTCTGCCTGTCAGAAGAGCAGCCCTATCCCTGTGGGATCCCTGCTGTCTTTAGGACCCAGCCCCAGGGTCAGCAAACTTCACTACTGGCCAGACAGCGAATATTCTGGGCTTCCCACACACACTCTTCCTCTCAAAATTTAAAAAAAAAAAAAAAAGGAAAAATTAAAAATGTACAAACCATTATTGGTTTGCAAGGCCGTGGGCCCAGGCACATCTGGCCTACAGGCCTTGTTTGCAGACCGTTGTCCTAGCCTCTGACAAAAGCTCACCTCTTTGTACTACCCCACCCAGCACTGCACCAGCGCAAAATATAAAGTAAAGAAGACAAAGTCTATTCTCTGAGGGAACCTGTGGGGGCGTAAAACACAACAGTAACAGTCACCAAATGAAAAGAACTACCAGCTGGACTAGAGGAGGCTGAGCGAAGGGCAGCTGCGGACGCCACAGAGAGGTGTGACGGGGCAGGAGCCGGGGGCTGGGGGAGAGCCACGGCACAGCTGGCTAGAGCGTTCCAGGCCTGTGGGCACCGTGGCAGGGGAGGGAACAGGCGCACACCGTTTGGGGCTCACTGAGCAGTTGAGGAGATGCATGGACAGGGTGGGAAGGCCATTAGGAGGACCACCCCCACCCCCGGCCCGGCAGGGCCTTTGACAACCGCAGGAAGTCCCTAGAGGGTCACAAAGCCCAAAAGGCCCCTGCCGAGGGAAGTGAGAATCCCCTCAGCCATGGGTTCAACCCTGCGCCTCCGCAGGCCTGACTATGACACCCCATCACCAAAGGGGAGGCGTCTCTGCAAGGGAGGTGATGCAAAGCGCTGAGAGGACAGTTCAGATCACAACAGCATGCGAGCAGGATGTGAACAGGCAATACCTCGGAATCCTCGCTGAAGTCTTCGGTGACGGTGGAGGAGGAGGCCTGTCGGGGGAGCTTGGCCTCGTATGCCATGACGCTCCACCTGCACATACAAGGTCAGCTGCACAGGCGGCAAGACGTGCAGGCCCCCAAGGGTGAACCCTGTGCCCTCCGCTTTCACAGCTGGCAACCTTGATCTTTACACAGTTTCTGACTTCATTTTTAGGCCCTTGGTCTTGACTCTGTCCCATAACTTGGCTGAGAACAAATGTCTGCACTCCACAACTAACGGCAGTACAGCTCCATGAAAGAGAGGAAGGTCTCCCATAAATGGCTGCCTTGAGATAAGACGCTGCTTCTGGGAGAAATGGATTTACCCTCCTCAAGAGAGCTGCAAATGGCTCAGCCAGCTGGCCCAGTGAGATGAGCATTTCACAGGCCCCAAGGCACACAGAGGAGGCCTGAAAAGGTGGGGGCACTGCAACACCACACCTGTGCTCAGAACTCCAGGCTTCTGGGAGCAACTAGGAAGGCTAGGAGGCATCTCATCAGCGCCCCATGTGCCACAGGTCAGCGAGTGCCAAGTGTGTCACTTGGAACAACAGTACCTCACTCAGGGAAGGTATCACAGTGGCTTTAGGCACTAGAGGATAATTTCCCAAAACTTCTTCTGGGAACAGACTATGGCAAGATGAAACTGTTCAAATAAGCACAAGGAGCACTTTTCCGACGGGTATGAGATCCGGGCTGATGCAGCCAAAGACGGCACAGCCGTCTTCTCCACGGCCCTGACACGCTCAGGCTTGACCTCCTGGGGAGACCAGATCATTCTAGGGCATGGCTGGTTCTTAACCTGTTTTGTTTTTATCCTTGTCATAATCTGACCAAATATCAAAGACCATCAGAATATATGCTCAGGTCAAATCTTTACAAATAATTTCAGAGGGCCCATGTTTTCCACAGACCCCAGGTTAAGAACACCCGGTCGAGAGGACCCGTCTCTCCAAGTCTCCTCATACGGCACTGCAGCATATCCCCACTCACCTGTCCAGCATCTTGGTGCTGGCTCTCTCCAACTTCTCCAAGATCTGGGGGAGCTGGGTGTCATCATCGCAGGCTGAGCCCCAGCCCAGCACTCGGGCCAAGTCGTTCCCTGTGCCGAGCGGCAGCACTCCCAGCTGACACTAAGGAAACACGGGGGAAGATGTGCAGGCAAACACCTAGGGGCAGGGACCACCTCCCAGCCCGCAGCCCTCCTTGTCACCCACCATGAGGGTTACATCAGCAATGTGGGGATGTGACCTAAAACCATGCAGCTTGCACATTATAGGCAGAGCCCACTGGAGGGGACAGATGACATTTTCCTTGGCAATGAGACAGAAACATGACTGCCCTTGAGATAAGATGCTGTTTCTGGGAGAAACGGATGAGCCACAGGTCCATCTCTCAGCTGTCGTCACATCTTGATGGTCAGCCCCTCACACCCTCTCTGATCTGTCTCCCAAATCCCCCGGCTTCCCATTTTCACCACTATGACCACAGCCCCAAGGAATCACTCTGACGCCTTGCCACCCACCCCTCCATCCACTACAGCGTCTCACTCACTAATGCCAAATTCTTCTTCCAAAAACATCACGAGTGTCACTTCTCTCCTCTAAATCCTATCAAAAAAAGGCGCCAGGACCCTTCTCAGTCTGGACGCCACCCTGAAGCCTTGCCAGAGCTCAGCCTCTGCCCACTTGCCTGCTGTTCATGAAGAGACCTCATCCATTGCTCAGGCCTCACCCTCTACCTGGATTCCCATCCCAGAGCTCCAATGAGATCCCACTAAACCCTTCATTGCTTAGGAGGCCTCTTGAAACGCCCACTGCCCAGAATTCACCAGCCTCTGACTCTGACAATGCAGTGACCCAGGGCCATGCATTGTGCATGACAATGCAGTGACCACAATGCATTGCAGGGCCACACTGTGGTGCAGTGTGTGGTGAGGCGTTACTGTCCTTGAGGCAGGAATCCTGCCACGCTCCAGCCTACAGCACCGTACAGCCCTCTGCTCACCAGGTGCAAGTGACCATGCTTGAGGCCCTGCTGCCTGTGCGGACAGCAAACACCAGGGGAGGTCCTGCCTCACCAAGGGGACATCTGGCAGTGGGGAGGCAGGAGCAAGCAGGCCAGGACACCGGAGCCAACATACTAGATGGAGAGAACCCAGCGCTGAAGAGTGCCCAGAGGGGCTGAGGACTCTGCGAGGGCTTCCTGGAGCCTTAAAGGAAAAGGAGAGCAGCGCACAGCAGGCATAGACGGTGCTCCAGGCAGGGAGGCACCACACTGGGAGGGCAAGGCAGAGCTCAGTGAAGAGGAGGACAGTGAGGAAACAGAAGGCAGACGGGCAGAGGAACAAGCAGGAGGCAAAGCTGGGACTCTGGCAAACTCTTAAAGGTCTGGACTTTTCCCAGAAGCATCGTGCTTGGGGGATGCACAGGCAGAAGTGCCCCGGGAAAGGTTGCCTGGGTGAGCTGCAGATGGACAGAGGCCAGGGTACTGTGGATGGCAGGACTGAGGCCACAATTAGTGAGAAACAGGCAGGAGGAAGAGATGGAGGAACCAAGAACAACTGTCCAATTTCCTGGCTCAGACATCTAGATGGATGTTTTCAGACTCGAAGGAAAGGAATGCGGGGCACGGGCTGAACATGGTGTAGTGTTGGAAACTCGCAGCACTAGGAGACATCCAGACAGGCCCAAGGCCCAAGGCATCCAGAGATGCCCCCAGGACAGAGATGACAGCAGAAGCCCTGCAAGTCGCTGAGCGTTCCAAAAGTGAAGGAGGAGAGGCTCCAGCAAGGCTCTGCGGACACAGCCTTAAGGTAAGGGGAAGGACGGAGAGGCCACCATGGAGCAGTAGCAGCCAGGAAGACCAGGAAGACAAGAAACCCCAAGGCAGCAGGGGCCCAGAGAGGGCATGGCCGCCGCAACCAGCGCCAAAGAGAAGCAGGGGAGAGAAATGTGTGCTGACCTTGGCTGAATGTATGAAAATCAGCCACAAGGTTCCACTGTCTTCCTAACTAGTGACAGTGAACTTGCAAATAATACACAAAATCAAAAATTAGAGTAGTCTATGCTAATCCACCACCAGGCGGCACCACTTCTCCTCCTGAGCCGCTGGCCTGGCCCAGGCTGTCAAAGTCCACCCACCTGGGAATACTACCAAGTGAGCAGGGCTAGGTAGGGACTACAGAATCACTGAAAAATACATCCACGTCACACGGAAGACTGAATTTTTTAAAAATGGGGCCATAATAAACATAAGAAAATACAGACGCAAATCTTCCTAATCTTGGGGTATAGACAGCTGCAAATATGACAGACGTTGACTAAAATCATGAAAGAAAAGACCACCCCCCAAAAAGGATGTTGAACTGACAAAAGACAAACTGGGAAAAAAATATCTGCAGTGATAGATAAGAAGTTAATATAACAATAATCCCTACACATCCATTTTTAAAGGAAAAAAAGGTGAATATTCAAAGAGAAAATGAGGCAAAAAAACATGAACAGGTTGATTTATTTAAAACTTCATAACCAACTGAGGAGGCGTTCAACTTCACCAGGAATTAAGTAAAGATCAGACATTTTTTGGCCTACTTAGCTGGACAAAAACTAAAGAGATGAACAGCTTGGATGGTGCATGGGAAAGGACAGCTTTAAGAGGCATCAGGCATGGAAGCTGGCACAGCCCTGAGGAAAGGCAGTTTGTCCCCACATTTCAATACTTAAGTTTGGGTGTGCCCAGAGAGGAGACCACTGGGAAGTGATCTCTGTGCTCACACACAGAGGTGAGCTGGCCCAGGGCTCCCAGGTGTGCCCAGTGGAAAACGACACACGGATGCCTACTTACAGACACAGGCAGAAGGTGTGTGCAACATCTTAATTAGTGATTTTTAAACAGCAGTAACAGGCCGGGCACAGTGGCTCACGCCTGTAATCCCAGCACTTTGGGAGGCCAAGGTGGGCAGATCACGAGGTCAAGAGATCGAGACCATCCTGGCCAACATGGAGAAACCCTGTCTCTACTAAAAATACAAAAATTAGCTGGGCGTGGTAGTGTGCACCTGTAGTGCCAGCTATTTGGGAGGCTGAGGCAGGAGAATCACTTGAACTGGGAAGGCAGAGGTTGCAGTGAGCCGAGATCGCGCCACTGCACTCCAGCCTGGCGACAGAGCAAGACTCCACCTCAAAAAAAAAAAAAAAAACCAAAACCAAACAAACAACAACAACAACAAAAGCAGTAACAGAACAGCCCGTTTAAATTACAACCACATTGTGCATTTTATGTGCTGTGATCGAGAGAGGCCACAGACAGCAAAATGCTGGTACTGGCTGATCAACTGCGGAGGCCGTGGCTAGGTGTGGAAATTCAACGAATATATGAACACTTTTATATACAATCAGGAAAATCTATTTTTATTTTAATACAAAAACTAAGTCCAATGAACCATGACTCTGACTTGAGAAATTCAAGTATGCTGCCATCCCCTTCTCACAAGCAAGAGGCCTCAAGTCAAAAATTACCCAGTAAAGCAACAGCCCCACCCAGTCCTGCTCCCCACGTGGGTCCTTTGTCGGCAATTCTTTTCCTAGCTCCCTTCAGGCCCCCCTCATACATCATGGTCTGAGCCCCCGGGCCTCCACGATGCCAGGGGGTGGCCTGGGCTCTCCCCTCTCTGCCTTGGCCACCAAACTGTACACTCCCCAAAACCATCAATGGTTTCTGGCCTGAGAACAGGTACTCCGAGATGAACAGGAGCTGAAACTGCATGATTTCCCTCTAACCTCCGCACCCTCTCCGCTCCTGGCTGGGCTCCCTCCCGTACAGGTACCTGTTTATGAAGGTTGAGGCTGTCGATTTCAGAGAGGACCCAACCAACACTTCCATCCCCACCACAAACCAGAATCCGGAACGTGTCAAACTTCTGGAATAACCGTAAGCTGCAGAGAAAAGAGAACGGCCGTGAAATGACGTCCATTCCACAGGACAAATGACAGGCTTGTCAATATGGGGCTGAGGGGCCACCTATGCTCCTCATGGCTGACCTGCACCAGGGACAGATCACACACAGGTCCTGCCACGTGACACCAGCCGCCTGCACGCCCCTCCACTCAGGGTCCACTTTGTCAAGGGGACGACAGCAGCACTGGGGTCCAACCAACTGCTCCCACCAGGGCCATGCCCCACCCAGCGAGAAGACCACTCAGTTTGGTGAGCCACTGAACCCTCTGCAGACACCACAGGCTCAGTGGTGGGCCAAAACTGCATCCCCTGCCAGGCTCATGGGCACAGCCTTCCATGGCCCCTGCCCATGTGAGCCCACCCTGCGTCACTGTCCCTGCCTCATCCACATGTGGCTCCTGCCAGCCTTCCCAGCATGCCCTCTGGGCTGCCTGCATCACCCTGCACCCTCAGCCTTGGCACTCCCTGGCCCTGGGCCGCAGTCTGGCTTCCACCCTGGCCCTTGTTCTAGTCACCCTGGAGCCCCAGGCTGCCCGACCTGCCTGCAGGCTACGTGTCCCCACTGCAGCACATATGCCTGGGCCCACTCAGTCCTCCGGTGACATGACCCATGCCTCCTACCCTCCTAACTCCTCGGTTTCCTTCCTGGGCTCCCCCTGTCAACCTGCCCCTGTCAACCTGCCCCTGTCAACCTGCCCCTGCCCAGCAGTGTCCTACTTAGGACACCACTGCTGCTTCTGCTCACTCCTCATCCTCTTCCTATGTGACCACGTCCAGTTTGCTTCAAGAAGCACACAGATGACTCTGGATCAACAGCCCCCAGGCAACTCCTGAAAGCTGACACTGGTACCTGTCCTCCAGAACACACCGCTCTGGTATCCTAGGACGCCTCCAACAGGACACACCCCTGCTCAGAGAATGGCAGCACAACCACCAACCCAGTCGAGAGGCCAGACCCTCCTCCTCTCAGCCTGCAGCCGATCCAGCCCCTCCTGGCAGCCTCTCCTCCACACCCAACCCAGGTACCAGCTCAGGTCACCACCGTGCTCTCGCAGAGTCCCACAGAGGCCTCAGTCACTAGGACACCCTTCCTGAAAGCTCCCCACACGAGTTCCAAGAAGATCTTTCTAAAACACGAGCCTGGCCATGGGCCTTGCTTTATGAGGTTGCCCCTCGTTTGCAGGAAGGAGCCGAACCTCTTGGCCAGCACCCGCAGCCCTCCCCGATGGCAGGTGCCACCTTTCTGCGGCTGCCCCCGGTCTGGCCCCGCAGTGTTCCCTCTTGCCTCACCTCTGCACAATCGGTGCCCTTGGCCCAGAAGCCTCCCCGTCTCCCTGCAGACATCAGAACACTAGAGCTCCTCAGATGCCAGCTCGGGGAGACGTGGAAGAACGCCCACTGTGACTTGAGACCCCTGCCCCCCAGGTTCCCAGAGAAGTTGCATCACCCCATTGAAGTGCCGGGGGACCCTGCGTGTGCTCCTACCCATTCCCTGCATCTGCACTCCTGGCCTGGCTGACCTGCGCACCCTGCCTCGAGCTCAGTGTCCAACCCAGAATGAATGCTCAGAAGACAGGCAGGCATAGGTGATGCGGCACCAAGCCCAGGCTCCACACAGAACACTGACACCTGTAAGGCCCCTTGCTCTTAGGAGAAGAGGTGACAGGTCAAGGCCGGGAACGGGAACATGAAGCAGTAGCTCCAGATTCTGCTGTGAGCTGTGTGAGATGAGCTGCTTCCAGAAACGGTAAATGACTCCACTCCCTTTACGCCACTGTGAGGGCTTTTCCTAAATCATCCCATCTCATACCGAACCCCCACTACGCATCACGGGGTTTTGCTTGCACACCAAAATTAATATTTCGTTATTCTCGAGATCAGCTGTGTAGCCTGCCCTGCCCACAGCCATTTCAAAGCCTTCCTCCAACGCCCCGGTACCATGTTTAATAACAACCTCAGCCTACTTGGTGCACTGTGATAACAGATGTATTATACCTCCACTTTCCCCACTTTTTAACTAAAATTATTTCTTTGCCAGACACAGTGTAATCCAACACTTTGAGAGGTTGAGGAAGGAGGATCACTTGCGTCCAGGAGTTTGAAACCAACCTGGACCACACAGTAAGGCCACTCTACAAAACGTTTTAAAAGTTTTGTGATGCTCAACAAAACATTTAAAAAAAAAATCAGCTGGGCATAGTGGTGCACACCTGCAGTCCCAGCTACTCAGGAGGCTGGTTTGAGCCCAGGAGCTGTAGTGAGCCAGGATTGCGCCAGTGCAGTCAGCCTGGGCAACCTAGCAAGACCCTGTCTCAAAAAATATAAAGTTAAAAATAGGGCCGGGCACGGTGGCTCAAGCCTGTAATCCCAGCACTTTGGGAGGCCGAGACGGGTGGATCACGAGGTCAGGAGATCGAGACCATCCTGGCTAACACAGTGAAACCCCGTCTCTACTAAAAAATACAAAAAACTAGCCGGGCGAGCTGGCGGGCGCCTGTGGTCCCAGCTACTCGGGAGGCTGAGGCAGGAGAATGGCGTGAACCCGGGAGGCGGAGCTTGCAGTGAGCTGAGATCCGGCCACTGCACTCCAGCCTGGGCGACAGAGCGAGACTCCGTCTCAAAAAAAAAAAAAAAAAAAAAAAGTTAAAAATAAAATTAAAATACTGTCTTGATCAGCCTACTAGTGATTGCAATCCTCCACCATTCAGATAAGTCTACAGAAAATGTGGGAGTACTGCCTTTGCGGAAGCAGGCTGGAGTGCTGCCATCTGTGACTGCTCTCCAACTGTGCCTGGCTGTGAGTGCGGACGAGTAACACAGAAGACACCCAGAGGACCAATGATGAGCAGCGTGTTCCTCTTACCCTGGCACGTACACCAAGCACACGCAGGGAACTGGCCGAGGTTCACATCAGAGTAGCCCCTGGCTCGTAAATACACAGACCCCCCTGACTCCTCCCAGAAAAACACAGGCCAGACCAAGGTTCTGCAGGCACTTCCCACTTCAGGTATCCTGGACAATCTCTGGAAGTGCTAGCAAGTCCTCTCAGAGCTCCGACCTGGAGCTGATGCTTCCAAAGGAAGAAGAAATTCGCTGAAATGGCAAAATTCACAAAAGCAAATGTTTTCTACAAACTTATGAAAAGTACAAAACTGGCCGGGCGCGGTGGCTCAAGCCTGTAATCCCAGCACTGTGGGAGGCCGAGATGGGCGGATCACGAGGTCAGGAGATCGAGACCATCCTGGCTAACACGGTGAAACCCCGTCTCTACTAAAAAATACAAAAAACTAGCCGGGCGCGGTGGCGGGCGCCTGTAGTCCCAGCTACTCCGGAGGCTGAGGCAGGAGAATGGCGTGAACCCAGGAGGCGGAGCTTGCAGTGAGCTGAGATCCGGCCACTGCACTCCAGCCTGGGCGGCAGAGCGAGACTCCGTCTCAAAAAAAAAAAAAAAAAAAAGAAAAGTACAAAACTACAAATAACACACACTGGCTCTCCAGCAAGCAGAGGAGCAGTCTAATCTCTGTGCTGCTGATGAACAGGGGAATCACTCTGGCCCAGCGTCGCCCTCGCGTGTTCCTGCTTTGCAGCACCTGCACACCGAGCAGCCTCCCATGCCTCTCAGCAAACACTCCTCCTGGCCTCGCCGCAGGACAGCTTCTTTCTCAATGCTAGGCAGCCGTTACAAACAACGTGGCATGCCAGGAAAACACACCCACAGATTAGATAGATAGATAGATAGATAGATAGATAGATAGATAGATAGAAAGAAAAAATAAAAGAAAGAAAATATATCCACAACGTTGTGTGCAGACACACGCAGAAGGCATTTGTGCAACGGCAGGTAAAGAAGAATCCTGATTGGCTCAAAAGATGCATGTGCATGGGTGTGTGTACATGGGTGTATGTATGTGTATGTACGTGTGCACACACGCGCTGTGTTCCAAGTTGGAAGGCCATGCACCTCTGTTAAGAGTGGGCACCCCTGCAAGTGCAATTTGGGGAAGAAGCAGTTTAACTTTTCTTTCCTATTTAAAACTTTGTGTCTTTAATCTTTTTTTTTTTTCTAACAAGCACACACCACCTACACAATTTTTAAAACTCCAAGAAAGATACATTTTACAAGCTTCCTACCCGAGGTGTGGGCCTCCGTTCATGAGGTCGAAGACCTGGGCGGGATTTAGCAGCTGTTTGAATCTTCTGAGGAACTTCACACCCTGGTTGTCCCCACTTTTTGAATTGACGAAGACCAACAGTGGGCTTGTGCAAGACGGAGGACAGCTGGCCTTCCAGAACCCTGGACGCGAGAATGAACAGAAGAAAACATGTAGGCCACGGAAGACGCTGGGGGCACCACTGATGGAATCAGCAGCAGGAGACCCCTCCAAGGACACACACCTGACACACGCACACCTATGACTCAGGAGGAGGTCAGCGAACAGTCCCCACAGCCGCTCCCCATGTGTGAGGCCGGGAGCCCCATCCATCTGATCTCACATTCACAAGGCGTCCATCTGCCACCTTGCTGCTCTTCTCTTCCTGATCTCCTCTCAGCCATGGACCCCACATCTCCCCTTCCACCAGTACTTGTCAACAGGTGCCACCATGTCCCAGTCAGACATGACAACAGCTGCAAGCCAGTGTGTCAGCAAGTGCTAGGCAGAGATGGAGCACAGCTTCAACGGCTCACGACGGAGAAGGCCACAGACCTGGGTTCCACTCAACAGCACCACCTCCACATCAAGCGCCAGGCTCGGGTCTCAGGCCTGTGTAAGCCTGGGTACCACTCAACAGCATCACCTCCACATCAAGCACCTGGCTTGGGTCTCAGGCCCGTCTAAGGGCAATGCCACAGAATCAGGGCACTGTGTGCCACTCTGTGCAACTCCTCCAGTAGCCCCCACAGCTGTGCCTGACCTCTTGCTGACATCTCACCAAGACAACCAACTCCAGAGCTGGAGAGGAGAAAGTGCGTGGAGAAGGAAGCATGTGGGCATGCATGAGAAAGATGAGCATGTGTGGTACCCACCATCAGAGTCGATGCTGTTGAGAGCCGTGGGTGGGATGACTGACACTTTGCATAGGCCAAGTGGGCACTTGGTCAGCAAGGATTCTTTACACGATGTGTGAACCTGAAACAAGAGTCCCCGCGTCACCAAGGGTCACTGGCATCCTTCACACACACCAGAAATCCTCCTGCCCTGTAGCTGATGAGCTGGCCCTGGGGGAGGCGGGTGATTTCAGAGCTGGGCTGGCCTGCTCCCATCAGGGGTCCCAGGCCCTGGCTTTGCACTTGAGAAGGCATAACACAGAAACACCCGGCAGGAGCCAGTCATGGTTCACACCGTGTGAGCTACAGTCCTGTACCCAACCCTCTGGCCCTTCAACCACAGCTACCTCAAACTTTCAGGACGACGGTGAGGGCTCCTGGGGCCATGTGCCTCTATGTGTCCCCTGTGTCTTGGCTTCCTCCTGGCAGCCAGATGTGCTAGGCAAGTGACTGCAGCAGCCACTTCACAATGACCAACTCAGAAGCAAGCACATGGAGGCTCCCTGGGTCTTTCCCTGGAAGCACATCTCACCACCCAGAGCAACGATGAGACCCAGGACCTGGCAGGAGGCCATGTGGGCTGCACCCCTTCCACATGGCTGGGCTCACTGTAAACACTGCCCAGAGCCGACACTGCTCCGAAGGCTCTCTACATCTTTCCTGCTTCCACACCACGGAGGCGGCCAGCTCAACTGTCCCAGGTGACCCCTCACAACCCGGCTACAGCGCCTGCCGCATGATGCAGGGTGACATCTGTCATAACAATACACATCTGCATGTGTCAAAAGGCAGGAATAAATTCAACAGGAAGAAATACCCCAAAAACACAGCTAAGAAGAATGTCCCAACAATTCAAAAACCCAATCTCAGCCGGAGGGGCCTCTGGGATGATTTTCCCAGGATCCAGCAGATCATGTGGAGCCACAAGGCCCGCACGGACACCGTAGGGAGCAGGCCCTCCCCTCCAGCCCGGGCGCAGGGCCCACACTCACCATGGCCTTGCACCAGAGGCAGCGCCAGTCCTGCAGGCGCAGCACGCTGCCACAGGTCTTGTCGCACACAGTGCACTTGGCACTCACAGGTAGGTTTCCTTCCAACCACTGGTGGGGCATTGCGATCTGCAACCAAACAGGCACGCGCTAGGGACGCTCCCAAGGCTCCACATCAAGGGCAGCCAGGAGCCCTCAGACGGAAACGCTCGTTGTGAACTCAGCCAAGGCATTCTTCCCAGAACAAACTCCTTCCCTGATGGTCAGTGAGGGCAGGGATGGCAGGGCCTGTGAAGCACAATCTACCCACAGCACCTGTCGGAGGTGCAAACAAGACCCACAGGGACAGGATGGAGCTCGGGGGCGTGACAACCACACAGAGACCGCATGTGCTTTCCACTGTGACACCCAATGCCAGTGTGACCGTCTCAAATGAAACAGAGGTGGGGAGGGAAGGGAGGAGGCTTGCAAGGGGCCGCGCAGGTGGGGGGCCCTGGCTCAGGGCCCCACGGGTGGTATTTCTTAACATACCCCATCTGCATCTTCAATGATGTCCTTCCCGATCGAGGCCAGCGTGGTCCACTTGCAGTTATTTGTTGCACGCACAGCACAGCGCTTGTGGGCCTTAAATTTGCACACTGTGAGAGAAGGGACACACAAGCCTACAAGCTGTGTCTGTGCCAGAAGCTTCCCATGCTGAGCAGTGTTGTGAGAACTGTCCAGCTCCAGAAAAGTCAAGGAAGGAATCAATGGCACTCCCATTTTATAAGTGAACTACTGTGATACGCTTAGAGGCTGATGGCGGTGGGACCAGCACCAGCAGGGAAAGCTGGGGATCAGTATGCTTTCTGTAACAGGCCAGAGAGTGAGCAGTGGAGACTCTGCAGGTCGTAACCAGCTTCCATCACCACTATTCAACTCTACCGTGTAGCACAAAAGCAGCCAGACACAGTATTTTTTTGCGGACACAAATTTGAATTTCATGTAATTTTCATGTGTCACAAAATATGATTCTTCTTTTGATTTTTTCCAATCATTTAAAAATTTAAAAGCCAGTCTGAAGTGTGGGAGCTGTACAAAAACAGGCAGAGGCAGGGTGTGGTCCAGGCTACAGCTAACAAGCCCTGCTCTAGCCCACTGCTTTTGCCACCAGACTGGATGTCCTGCCCAAACCCTGCAGCCCTGACCTCTAAATCTGTAACGCACTTTCAGTCCATATATGCACAGCCCTGTTTCCCCAGCTGCGGAGTGTGAGACACGGGGGCCGACCACTGTTCCTTCAGTGTCTTTCCCTCTGTGTGCTCTAGGCTTCCCCTGTTTCTCCTTTTGCCACCCACTGCTTCCCTTCTTTTCACTGTTTGAGCACTATAAAAAAATGATTTATCAAGGACTCTTCGGCAGGTAAAATAAAGAAGAATGGCATCATAGAAATCACTGTGCCCCTGACTGACCACATGGGTGACAATGGCTTATTTATGGTGACTGGGTTTGGATTTCCAAGGCTTTATCAAGTAAAATGCCAGGCCACCTTTCCTGACAGAATAACAAATGCACATCCGTACCCTCGCAGGACAGCCCATGCGACGTGACCCCAGACAGAGCCTCACGGCACACGTTGCAGTAGGTCGGCCTCGCGTGGGAACAGGCGTACCAATTGTGCGTCCCTGAGAAGTGGTCCATGCTGTACTGGGTGGGCTGGAAGAACGAAACCAAGACGGCAAAGGTAAGACTTCTCTTTTAAATTGTTAAATGCAGTAACTTGGACAAGATTAAACAAAGTATCCAAGAGAGGAGAGGAGGAAGGTTTATAAAGGACAGGTCTGCCAGAGGACAAGCAATAAGCTTTAATTGTATAAGGAACATGCTGAGAACGTGAGCTCCAGACTGTGGGTCCGCAGGTGGGAGACACTCAGACAGCAGACACTGGGGTGAGGGAGGCAACAGGAGGCATTCGGAGAAGGGTATTTTCTTTTTTAACCTCAAAGTGCTCCCTGTTCTGCACAGTCTTTAATGCTGCAATCCAATCTTCCATTTCTTTTCTGTTATCAGCACACAAGATGAGCTTCCTGCATGGAGTTATGACCTAGAGAAAGAAACAGGTTCAACAGATCCATGAACAAAAAGCAAGTGCTGATAGCTATGAATGCTTTCTTAAAACCGACCTCACATAGACATAAAAATTACTATTTCATTCACATATTCACACTGAACCGAAAACAAAAATGGTTATCAAGGATCACTAAAAATTAAAAATAAGAACGATCTCAAACCAAAGACAGTGAAATTTAGTTTTTACATGTTCATCAGCAATCAACTTAAGTGGACATTTATAATTGCTTACTACTTAGACACAGTAGTAAGCCCTAGGAAATAAAAAAAGAAGTAACAACTGTGTCTTTCGAACAGTGGAAGACACAGTTGCTACTGCTTCAGGGAGCCCACAGTGATGTCCAGCATTTGAACAGTTGAGGGAAGTCTGCTCAGCTGTAAGTCTAGAATACCATGAGCATGCATCACATATAAATGTTCTTGTAGAAAACCTCAATATCAGACTAGGCAGGACCTGAACAACTTGACTGGAACTAAAGTTGTGACCTGGTAATAATAAACAAATGAAAATGATATCCATAATATATAAAGGGTTGTAATCAGAAGAAAAAAATCTTCCTGATATAAAAAAGGCTATGAAATTGCATTTTACAAAAGAAATACATCAATATTCTTTTGTGTGTGGGGGGGGTACATGGTAGGTATATGTATTTATGGGGCATATGAGACACTCTAATACAGGCACAGAATAATCACAGAGTAAATGGGGTATCCATTGCCTCAAGGATTTATCCTTTCTCTGTGTTACAAACCATCCAAGTATACTGAGTTATTTTTAAATGTACAGCAAATTATTAACTGTTGTCACCCTGTTGTGCTATCAAATACTAGACCCTGTTTATTCTAACTATATTTTTGTACCTATTAACCATCCCCCCAGCCCCACTACCCTTCCCAGCCTCTGGTAACCATCAATCTACTGCCTATCTCCATGAGTTCAACTGTGTTCATTTTTTTTTTTAGCTCCCACAAATAAGTGAGAACATGTGAAGTTTGTCTTCCTGTGCTTGGCTTATTTCACTTAACATAAGTGTCCTCCTGTTGTTGCAAATGATAGGATCTCATTCTTTTTTATGGTCGAATAGTACTCCCTGTGTATATGCACCACATTTTCTTTATCCACTTGTCTGCTGATGAACACTTAGGTTGCTTCCAAACCTTAGCTACTGCGAATAGTGCTGCGATCATCACGGGAGTGCAGACATCTCTTCATACACTGGTTTCCTTTCTTTTTGGTATACACCTAGCAGTGGGATTGCTGGATCGCATGGTAGTTGTATTTTTAGTTTTTTGAGGAACCTCCAAACTGTTCTCCACAGTGGTTGTACTAATTTACACTCCTACCAACAGTGTACGCGAGTTCCCTTTTCTCCACAGCCTCACCAGCATTTGTTATTGCCTGTCTTTTGGATAAAAGTCATTGTAACTGGGGTAAGACGTTATCTCATTGTCATTTTTATTTGCATTTCTCTGATGATCAATGATATTGATCACTTTTTCATATACTACTTGCCATATGTATGTCTTCTTTTGAGAAATGTCTATTTTGCCTATTTTTTAACTGGATGATTAGATTTTTCCCTTTTGAATTATTTAAGCTCCCGATTTATTCTGGTTATAATCCCCTGTCAGAGGAATAGTTTGCAATTTCTTTTTGTTCTGTTTGTTTGTTTGTTTGAGACAGAGTCTCACTCTGTCACCCAGGCTGGAGTGCAGTGGCGCAATCTTGGCTCACTGCAAGCTCCACCTGCTGGGTTCACGCCATTCTCCTGCCTCAGCCTCCCGAGTAGTTGGGACTACAGGCGCCAGCCATCACACCCAGCTAATCTTTTGTATTTTTGGTAGGGACAAGGTTTCACCGTGTTAGCCAGGATGGTCATGATCTCCTGACCTTGTGATCCACCCACCTTGGCCTCCCAAAGTGCTGAGATTACAGGCGTGAGCCACCGCGCCCGGCAGTTTGCAAGTATTTTCTCCCATTCTGTGGGCTGTCTCCTTACTTTGTTGACTATTTCCTTTGCTGTGCAGGAACTGTTTAACTTGTTAAAAACAGGAGCTTTTTTCACTGTTTCCTTTGCTATGCAGGAGCTTTAACCATTTGTCCACTTCTTGCTTTGGTTGCCTGTGCTTGTGGAAATTACTCAAGAAACCTCTGCCCAGTCCAACGTGCTGGAAAGTTTCCCCAATGTTTTCTTTTCATAGTTTCATAGTTTGAGGTCTTAAAGTCTTTAATCCATTTTGATTTGATATTTGTTTATGGCAAGAAACAGGAGTCTAGTTTCATTCTTCTGCATATGGATATCCCGTTTTCCCAGCACCATTTATTGAAGAGATTGTGCTTTCCTCAGTATATGTTCTTGGTACGTTTGTCAAAAACGTGTTCACTGTGTATGTATGAATTTATTTCTGGGTTCTCTATTCTGTTCCATTGTTCTGTGTCTGTTTTTATGCCAGAACCACATTGTTTGGGTTAGTATAGCTCTGTAGTATAATTTGAAGTCAGAAAATGTGATTCCTCCAATTTTTCATCAGGATAATTTTGGCTATTCTGGGTCTTTTGGCTATTCTGGATCCGTAAAAATTTAGAATTATTTTTTCCATTTCTGTGAAGAATGTCCTTAGTATTTTAATAGGAATTGCACTGAATCTGTAGATTGCTTTGGGTAATACGAACATTTTCACACTGTTGATTCTTCCAGTCCATGAACACGGAGTATCTTTCCATTTTCTGCGTGTTCTCTTCCATTTCTTGCATCAATGTTTTGTAGTTTTCATTGTAGAAATCTCTCACTTCTTTAGTTAATTCCTAGGTACTTTATTTTATTTGTAACTACTGTAAATGGGATTACTTTCTTGATTTCTTTTCCAGATTGAGCACTGTTGGTACATATAGAAATGCTACTGAATTTTGCACATTGATTTTGGATCCTGCAACTCTACTGAATTTATCAGTTTTAATAGTTTTTTTGGTGGGGTCTTTAGGTTTTTCCAAATATAAGATCACATCATCTGCAAACAAGGATAATTTGACTTCTTCCTTTCCAATTTGGATGCCCTTTATTTCTTTTTTGTTGTTGTTGTTATTTGATTGCTCTAGCTTGGACTTCCTCACAGAAGAAATACAAAATGGATAATAAGCGAGTAAAAAGCTGCTTAATCACTCTAGTCATCAGAGAATGCAAATGAAAATAGCAATCTATTTTTCGCCCATGGGATTGGCAAAGTTTTAAAAGATGACTATCCAGTACTGACAAACATGTGGGGGAAAAGAATTCTCCTCAAGTACTGACAGAAGGTAAACAGGATATAAACTTTTTAGAGAAAAAACTGATAGTGTATATCAAAATTTTCAAGGGTTGTAACCTTTTACTTTATTTTGTTTTATAATGACTATATTATACCGATGGAGTTCCAAAGTCAAATCCACAAACAAGGTAGATTCAGAAATCTAGCTTTTACATCTCTCCCCTCTATCCTGGTTCCCACAGGTTGCTTTACTTAAAAAAGAGAGAAAGAGCAAGTATGTTTCTCCTTCCATTTTTAAGATACATGCAAACATGTATATCATATTGTCCCCTTTGTCAACAGTAGCATGGACACTTTTCTCCACCTTTGCCTTTCCACTTAATTACATAACCCGGCCGGCCGTCACTCCTTAGCAATATCCAGGGCTTCCTCATTCTTTCAACAGTGGCACAGTACTCCACTGTATAGGACTCACCCAGTGCCCTATGAATGGGAATTTTGTGCTGTTTAGAATTCTTTGCTATTTCTCATAGTGTTGCCATGAATTATCTCTACAAGGATCTTTTCCTGTTTTTACCAACCTATCTCTGGGGTAAATTCCTAGAAGCAGTATTGCCCTGACAAAGAATAAATGCACACGTAATATTGCTAGCTATTGCCAAACTATCCCCACAGGGGTTGTACCATTTTGCATTCTCACCAACAGTGTTAGGAAAATGCTTGCTTCCCCATGGATTCACCAACAAAATATGTTATTTAACTTTTAGATTTCAACACATCTCATAGCTTCAGTTTACATTAAGAAGACCCAATTTAGGAATACCCAATTTAAATTATTAAATGACCATGTTTCTGCCTCAGAAAACGTAGAAAGTACTTTATAGGGAGATTCTCCAGTGACTAAGTTTCATCGCAGAGGGGATAAATGGAACTGGGTCGCCAGTGCATGGTTCGTTTCTTCCTCCGCCTATCCTGGGTTGATGGGAGAACACCTGGGGCCAGGCTGAGAGTGGTAAGCAGCAGAGCTGGGAGAGAGTGAGGGCGAAGGAGAGACAGCAAAGGTAGGCCTGGAGGGGCCATCTGCCTTCTGCCCTGCTGCTGTTCAAGCTTCGAGAGCACCACAAACCACCCCTCTCCCTCCAGAGGATAACCCCTGGCTCCGCAGATGCTTGCTAGGCGTCTCCTCTAGACTGGGGATTCTAAGAACATGGTGAGCAAAGTTCCTCCCCTCACAGAACTCACAGTGGGCAGAGGCAGGCAGATAACAATTTCCCACACTGACTCGGCCGTGAAGATGACAAAGTGGGCCCTGAGAGTGGGACTCGGTGGCGGTCTCTGGACAGCCACTCAGGGTCAGTCATGGGAGACTGGGAGCTGCAAGGCCGAGGCGAGTGCATCAGTCATCGGCACCGTCCCTGTCTACCTATCAAGTCTGAGCACATGTCCCTAACTGTTCACTCTGGGTGAGTTTTAATATTTGAACACTTTTGTCAGCATAAATACAGTAAGAGAAAGATAACATACCTTACTTTGCATAACTCAGGGATTATATTAGGAGTCATGCAACAGGATATTTATAGAAGACAACAATGAGATGTTTTAGGTCCTGAGTCTACTACTCCCGTGGCAGCCTTTACGAGCTGAAGCGTCAACTTTGCTTCAGAACTCAGCCACAGCGATTGAGAAGATGGATCTTTGGGCCCACCTGACCCACACGCTGAAGGAGAG